ATGTGACCCCTGCTGATCTCTTCCTGTACTGGGAGTCATTTTTGGGGAATTTTTTTAGGAAACTGGACAGGAGGGCAAAATAACTGACCATATATGATCATAAGGTTCAATGTAGAAATACCTTTTGCTCTACATGGTTAAGTGCTTTCTAGTCTTGAGGGAATATTTGGGGGTTCTATTTAACACCTCTTGTTCACCCCTTCTGTACCTGAATTCCTTAACTTAAAACATTTGGTTCTCTATTTTAGTGGCATTTGGGAAGGGTACTGTTCATTTCTCTTAAAATGAATACAATCATGAATGTAAATATACAGTCTGTGAAGAATGCTCTTAGAAATATTCCACAGCTGTTAGACATATGTTTGAAAATGCAGCATATTGAACTGCAGTGATTGTGTGGGGGGTGGAATTCTGGATTTTTTCCCCCCAGTTCTCATGAGTCACTGTTCCATGCAATGTCTGTTTTCTGCCTAGTGCAGTCACATAACTCTTAATGCAGCTTCTGGAGTTGTGCAGTGGACGTTCCTCACTTCTACTTTTCATGAGGTACCGTGTAGTCTTTCTGTGCGTGCAAACAACATCCTAAATGAAATATTAAATGCAAACATTGCCAGTTGTAATTTAATCCTGACATATTTCTCTTTTTGGTCTTCTAACAAGATGTTTTGGCCAACAGTCCATCTTTTTCTGCTCATGTAGGGTGTAAGAAATGTAAACTATTTACTGTACTTGTATACAGTCTCTGTACTAGGAGGGCCATGGAGCTCTGCTTGCATCAGCCTGTGACTAGTAATCACAGTAAGAATTGTGAACAACGCAGCACCTTAAACTGCTTCTTGTTAATAACCAAAAATGTTCCTATAATCAACTATATATATATATGCTCCACTTAATGGTATTTTTGTGAAATGGGTAAAAACCATTAGCTCCATCTGTAGAGCAGTAATACTGTTCTTTGCCCTTTTTAGTTTTTCGTTCTGGCTTTTGTGGAATTTCTTTGTGAGCTGCCTTCATGTCATAACGGGAGAGGATGAGTTGGCCATGGAATGAATGTTACAGCACAAAAGGAATTGCTGATTAGATGACATACAGGCCTAGTCCTGTACTTAATGGGCCTGGAACCTTTACCCCCACCCCTGCAACAGTTCCAAAACGTTTGTTGACTTTAGAGCAGGAACCGCCCTGTTACTATGGAAACAACATTGCCATCTACTGTGCCGCCTCGGCATTTAAGCTTTGCTCTGGTGAACAGGCCTTTCCCCAATTTGTTTCTCTCCAGAATGTTAGCACTAACAAAAGGGTGGAATGCATCTTGTGGTTTAATTGTGTGCTTCCTTTTGAAGAAATTGCCCTTCCAGGCATTTGAAATCGACCCAGTCAGCTTTTTTCTTTTATATCTTTCAGTCTGCTTTTGTCTTCTCAAAAGAGCGATTTTATTTGTGCCTTGTTAATCACGTGGAAACAATACAGTTCAATTTCAAGTCTGTATATTTAAATAGTTGCATATCTTCACACCCCAAGAATGCATTTTATTGAAAACCAAGCCAGAAACGCAATCAATTTCAATTTGTCATCTGGTGTTGCATTTTTTTGGCCCATCATGCTCGTTTGGTTGCTGGAGGCTTATTGATCTCTGGTTCTTTGGTTGCTTTTTGAAGCATCCTGGTGTCTGAACAAACCGCATTATAGAAATCCAGTCCAGAAAATTACTATTCTTTGTTCTAAACTCATCCTTAAAATCAACAGATTTAAGTACAGCTTCATAAAGGACAAAGCAACACATGATATAGGTTTTAATGATTGGAAAGGCTGAATTTAGTGCACTTAAAGCAACATTAGATTTGTATTCCTTATGTTAAGTCTAAATGAATTTTTTTATGGAGTCTTACTGTGCATTCTTATAGATTTTTTTTTTGGGATTGCATTTGTTAGCCCTGTTATCCATTGATCTATTTTACAGTAAGTCATTGGTTCCCTCCATAGCTGAGAAGCGGCATTTTTTAGTGGTATAAAATTTTAGCAGTCTGAGTTTAAGACCCCACCCTCTTGTGGTAACAGGTTGTCACTGGTGTTGGGGGCAGATAAGGACAAATCTGTGGTTTATTTTTTGCACATGTAGTTAATGCCATCAGGCATGCAAGGATGCTTTCAAAGTAAGGCTTCTTATACTTTTTGTTTGCTGTAATGGAAGAATTGACCACAAACCAGTGAATTGTGTAGGCGTATGACAGCAAGGCCTATTGTTAGTTTATCTAGGATATTTCCCAGCTTTCCTTTTTGCCTTTTAATGTCCCTTGACAGGCCCCAGAACCCGAGATAACGGGTGGCCTGTTCTTTATCAAGACTTTGATCTTGGCTTTTAAGGGACTCCCAGGTTCCAAGTTCTGATCTCTCAGGTATGGAACTCGATGTGCTTGCACAAGGGTATACAAAACTGACTTTTTGTACGGGTGGTGTTTATTCCTTTTTTTTTAAACCTGCTTTTACCTCCTTTTCCCTGTTTTTCAATGTCAATTCTCAGTTTTGTGATCATGCCAAGCTGTTTTTAACTTTAAGTGAAAGCAAACAAGTGTGCTCAACTGAAGACTGCCTACTGTGTGCAGGCTGCTAGTGTGGGGTTTAATTGCTTCAAAGGGAGGAGAAGTTCATTGACAGTAGAGGTCTGTGGTCTAGAATGATGGGACTTATGCTTGGAGACCTTTGTCATCCATTTATTTTTAGCCTGTTTTTTTTCCTGGCGAGGGTCCCTAACCCTAAAACATACCATTCCTTAATTAGTTCGTTGTAACAGAAGGCTCTTCCTCCTATTGTTATATCTTGCCCAAAGATAAAGAATCTTAAAGTACTGGATTCCTACCTTTTAGTGACTTCTTAACTTGTGATTTTTCTACATATTCTTAGTATTTGTGCTGTATGTACCTTTTTTGTTTGAATAAACATCTGTGCAAGAAAAAGCCTTCTTAAGTCAAACCCAAACCTGGGGGAAGTGTAGTTTAGAAAAGTGTCATGCAGTGTCAGTGTTCCCTTTTTACCCCACGATTTGCTTTGAATAGTTTTTTTTATAGCAATTGTCTTATCGCAGCCACAAGCAAAAGCCTCAGAACAGCCTAAATGACATCGGAAACATGCTCGGCAAGAAAAAGACCCTAAACTTATCAAGTCATATTGCAGCATGCAAAAGATATGTGGTGTGCCTAGGGATTTTACAATGACGCAGCCTCTTGTTTCTGGGTGGGGCAGGATGGGTGTTATAGCCAGAATTAAGAATGTGAGAATGTATGCTTAGAATCCAACACGTTATTGATATGATGTGGCTTGGTTTCATAAGGGTAGCTACAGGATTCCTAATGTCTGAGCTCTCTGAAGCTATTTTGTATGTTGGTAGTCTTTAACAAGAGTTTACAGTACTATTATGTCTGTTCAGGAATCTCAAATCTTGGTCCTGGAGGGTCATTTTAACAGGTATCTTCATGTAGTGCTGATAAATCAGCCTAAGCCAATAACTTCATTCAGATAACGGTCTAGCTGGGTTCTTAACATGCAAGTGAGTTGGCCTTCCAGGACCAGAACTGGGGATCCATGAGTTAGTTGATTTGTAATGAGAATTTGTTCCCGATCTTTCAGTGTGGTTCTGACATTGCAATATTGGAATAGTATTGATATGTTGGTCAATAGGTACAATTCTCTAACGCATTCCAAGTACAAAGTGTGGCTTTGCTTGACCTATTGAACAGGCCTGTGATGTAATGTCTGCATTTGTTACACTATAACAGCCATGTGTTCAGTCGAATTTGGAGCGAGTGTATAAAAATAAGCTGCTGGTTATTGGTCTAATTTGAAATGTTCTCTAGATGAGACCTGGTTTTAATTTTCTATTTCTTTCCCCCCACAAAGTGATTAACTTTATTTAAATTCGATCAATTGAATTTGGTTGGAATGAAAAATGAATTGCATCATAACCTGATGGTGACTCTGCATATTGTCTCCTCCAGACTCCAAAGCCATTGTGGATGGGAACCTGAAGCTGATTCTGGGGTTGATATGGACCCTTATTCTCCACTACTCCATTTCCATGCCGATGTGGGATGAGGAGGAGGATGACGACGTGGCCAAACAGAAAACGCCCAAGCAGAGGCTGCTGGGATGGATCCAGAACAAGCTTCCCCAGCTGCCCATCACCAACTTCAGCCGGGACTGGCAGTCTGGCAAGGCGCTTGGTGCCCTGGTCGATAGCTGTGCCCCAGGTGGGTGTATGGTCAGCTTTGCAACCTGATGAGTGGTGTCTGACTGCAGCTGAAGGCACTTAAAAAGCTTGTTTTTAGTTGGCTATATAAGCCCAAAGTAGTTCCTGTAAGTCATAAAGGTGTTGCTTAATTTTGAGTAGATGTAGGCAAGTTATGTACTGTATTCCATTTTCGTTCTTGTAGGCTTGTAAACCTTTCAGTGCTGGAAGGGCCAAATTCTTCATTTAAACAACTTTTCCTGCACCTAGAATACTGTAAATGTTTAGTGTTCTTTGTACAAAAATGTTCTCATTTATACCAGCTAGAAATGGTATAATTTTTAATATGGGTTCATGGTATGTATTATATGTGCGTGCTCGGAAAAGAGCATGTCTAAACGGAGCATGTGTTTATCCTGTACTGGCTATTTCAAATAAGGAAATGTAGTGGGATGTTAAAAGTAACATGTTCTGTTAGTGCACTGTTTAAATAAGTGAATTGGTCACCTGCAGGTCTGTGCCCTGACTGGGACTCTTGGGATCAGACGAAACCAGTGGACAATGCTCGAGAGGCTATGCAACAGGCTGACGACTGGCTGGGCATCCCACAGGTATAACCAAAACATGGGGACATAAGAAATCTGTCTGATTTGATCTGACCTTTTAGCTGGTCCTTGAAAGAGGTCAAGACATTGAATGCAGCCACGTGGTTGGGTAGCTCATTCCAAACTTGAAGAAAGTACTTCTCTTCCTTAAAGAGCTGTGTAATTCATCCAACAGCGAGAGTGCCACTGGGGCTTAAAAACTTTTTAATAGCATGGCAGTGTTTCACTAGTGAACCTCGTTGTTCATCTGTGCTTTTCTGGTTGCTAGAAGCTTCCTGGTTTGGTGATATCGGCTTCTTTTACAGATGCTCGAACTCCATATTCCAAAGATATTCTGGAATTTCAGCAGTCAGCCTTGCTCATGTGTGTGTGATGTGCTCCACCCTTAAACATCTGTGAAGCGAGTGTAGCTGATGCTTATGCAAGGGAGAACCGGGATGGCCTTCAGTATGCATTGATTGACTTGTCAAGACCATGGTTTCCCTAGCTGGCTAAATCTTGTTTTCTCTTCCGTTTTTAACTTCTTTAGAAAGGCTGTTAACCAATACTTTTAAAGTCCTCTTGGTCATGCTAAACTTTTTAGTCCCAAAGTGTTAAGTTAGGCCCTTAAGGCTTTTTGAATTGAGCCATTGTTGGGTAACCTTGTTCTGGTATCTTCTGCATTATGGGACTCCTGTGCTATCTGGTAGCTGTCTGGGTCAAGAGCAGATAACCTTAGTGTTCCATTCTGTGCCCTGATGGAACTTTTGATGCAGCTGGTACTTCTAGTCCTTCTGAATTCTCTCACAAGGAGTGGTTGCAGCATGACCTTTCAGTGTAATGGAAAAACTAATTAAAATTACCCTAATTAAAATGAATGTACCCAGTGCAATTCATATTTAGGCATGAGTGGTCTCATTCCCAAGAGATCTTATGGTTTTGGCACTTCAGTGCTAATATCTGTTCTTGCAACGGTTGCTTTATAAGTAAAGGCAAGCATGTTTCATTTTTAAACATTTTCCTTTGTGTTTATGCAGTTAAGGCATCGTAGAATGTTCGAGCTGCAAATGTCTTTTTTTTTTTTAATTTGTTGAATTACAGGAAAGGTGCTATGGTATGATATTTTGAAGTGCGGGTTGTCAAGGCATCTGAAAATAAAATGACAGTTGAATAATGTGGGCAGCCTTGTTTCCTGTTCTGGGTACAAGTTCCGCCAGATGACATGCAATTTTTTGTAATAGACTGGATTGTGTTTCATGAAATCTATGGAGAAAGTGTCCTTTCCTTTGCAGAGGACTTAACTTGGCAAGATCTGGCGTAAATGTTAGCTTCTAGTCCAGACCGCTGGCTTGTGTTTTGTTGGAGTGGCTATATCAGTAATAGTGTTTTTTCTGCATCTTAAAATATTAATGAGTAAGAAACGTGAAGGGAATCAGATTGTATTTGCTTTCTTAAAGTTCATTTTTAACATAGTTTGCCCTGACAAGTAAAAGCAATGCTTTTTCCTGTTTTATGGATGGAGTGGTCTGCAAATCAGAAGCTTGTTGTGGCACTCCCTGTGCACTGAATGCCACTATATTACAGACACTTCCTTCTTGAGGTCTCTTGTGATAAGTGGCAATAGAGTGGTAACGAGGTAAAGCTCTAGCCTCAAATAGGCAAGCAAAGTTGGTGCGATGAGGCAAACTGAAGTGGCCTGCTGTGGTTGGGGGGGGGGGCTCCCTTTTTGTAGTAGCAAGTTGGTAGATCAACAGCAGGCTCAATGTAGAATGTGTGTCCCATTTGTAACACTGTGATAAGCAAGTTGTAAGTCAGAGCTGCTCTGTGAACACGGGTGGGCACATTTCGGACTGCTTCATCCAATAGAGGGTTGCAGGAGAGCTGGAGTCTGCAAGGAAGGGTACACCCTGGATGGGACACCAGTCCACTACAGAGCTGCGACACACAAACCAAAATAAACTCACACCAGAGTCCCTTTTTCTAGAAGCCAATCAATATTGATGCCAAATGTCTTTTGAGTTGTGGGAGGAAACTAGGACATGCAGCATTTGAGGTAATGCTACTAAATTTACAGTGCAGAGGGGAAGCTTTACTGTTGTGCAGGATATCTTTTTATGCTCAAGGGTTCATTCATCATTTGCCAAAAATATTCGGCTTTCAGTCTTTCCAAAATAGCCTATATGCTTTATGCTTTCACCATGTTAACGCACACTGCCTTGACCAGGAGCTTTTAAGCCCTGCACCTGGAGTGCCTCATTCGAGCAGATTTGACAGGTAGCCTTTAAAAAATATTGGTGTCTAAAGGCATGGATCAATTTAACTGTGATCTGGTAAGCTAATGAGGTGTTCACTTAAGTAAATTAGAGAATTTGGAACGCATTGGTATTTTTCAACTCCTCCAGGAGCAGTGTTCCCTCCTTCCTGAAATACGATTTTAGTTATTTAAACAAGTTTTCCTGTTCTGTAGCAGGTGATTTAGGGTGGCCTATAAGTAATTAACCCTGGTCCTAGATCTTCGGGAAGATCATGACATCACCCATTTTCAGTTTTCATCAATATTTAAATGCCGTAATAAAACCTACAACCCTTTTCTTTAGGTTTCCAAGGTTTGATTTCCACTGCAGTAACTTTTCCAAGTGAGATCCAGATGTATCTGGAAAGAAATGTCATCTTTCAAGATGACAGTGGATTAAGAGGAAGTATGGAGGCAGGTCTTGCTCATGTTTCTGTAATACTTTTCTAAATTAGGTTATCACCCCTGAAGAAATCGTGGATCCCAATGTGGACGAGCACTCCGTGATGACCTACCTGTCCCAGTTTCCCAAAGCCAAACTGAAGCCAGGGGCTCCCCTCCGACCCAAACTGAACCCCAAAAAGGCTCGTGCCTATGGGCCAGGTAATCCTTTTACTCTCACTGACTAGTTTGTAATTGAAACTAATTTCTGTCTTTTTCTCTGATACTCAGTTTCAGATGGTGGTATTTTAGACCCTTGACTGGGGATTTTTACTGTGCATGTCACTTGTTGATATTCCTAACGCCATCACAGCACATAATCTAGCTACTGTCGGCTTAGTTTCCTTGCTGCACTCTGTATTGGCAATAAGGGATAGTAATTGACCTGGTTTGTTTTTAAAGCCGCACCGTTTAAACTATTGCATTGTTCATCAAAGAAAACTATTGTAAAGAAGCTCATCTTCTGCAGAACCTCAGATATTTACTCTAGGGTTGTGGGGGCCAGTGTATTTGTAGTCATTACTTTTTTTTTTAAAAAAAAAGGTGAATCTTTGTTCAAACATTCAAGGTGATCTCTTGAATTTCTTACGGTTTGTTGATGTAAATAGTCTCAGGGCAACCCCAATTTAAGTTCTGTGTAAACCTTTTTAAATGTCTTGTTTATTAAGGTATCGAGCCCACTGGCAATGTGGTGATGAAGAAAGCTGAGTTTACAGTGGAGACCATCAGTGCTGGGATGGGCGAGGTCTTGGTGTATGTTGAGGACCCTGCTGGGCACAGGGAGGAGGTAAGACGGCTCACTAGACCACCTGTTGGGTTAGTGTGGCATTGCAGGGGTTTAGCAATGGAATTTAATTAGGGATTTTTCTAGAATGCTACCCGTGAATCTTAGTGAGGCTTTATAGTACCTTGTTTTCTGTAAATATTTTGAAACTCATTTTGTGATTAGATCAACATCTTTTGCATTAGGCTCCTCGTGGGGAAAAAATAGAAATAACAAATTTCTTATGTTGCTAATTTTGTTGGGTTTTGGTCAGTTTTGAAGGATTTAATGTTCACATGAATTCCTTTAGTAGCACCTCAGTAGGGAATCAGTTGAAAGATCAGTGTGACTTCTGTTGTCAAGCAGTTAGACATTAAGCAGCGACGCTGAAGAATTGAGTGCAAGTACTGTATTCCTTTTTTTTTTGTCTAGGCTAAGGTGACGGCCAACAATGACAAAAACCGCACCTACTCTGTTGTCTATATTCCCAAAGTGACTGGCACACACAAGGTAAAACTTCTTTCTCTTGGAGACTTGAGTTTATGGAATTTGTGCAGGTGCTGTAAATCTGCTGGTCTTAAGTTGGCATGGTGACTAAAGGGGCAGTGGGCTTTCAGAGTTCTGATGTCGGTGATCTCTTGTCAGGTGACTGTGCTGTTTGCTGGGCTTCACATTTCCAAGAGCCCCTTTGATGTGGATGTGGGGATGTCTCAGGGTGATGCCAGCAAGGTGACTGCCCAGGGTCCAGGACTGGAGCCCAGTGGCAACATTGCCAATAAGACCACCTACTTCGATGTGTATACTGCAGGTACCCAATGGTGATCACCGTATCTTATACAGCCTATGACCACCAAAACCATACATGCAAAACTTCTAAAATGCCATGAGAGACCTGGTGATGTTACAGTTGACATTGACTTGAAATGAATTATAAACTAGTTAACTATCAAATTCCACGCTTGACAAGCCAGTTTAGACTTTAAGAACTCAATGGTTTTCTCCATTTTGTAAATTCTATAAACGGCCATTTTACCAAACTTCTCCTGAGGACACTTGATTATAACCAATGTTTTAACAAAATTAAGTGCATTTCATTTTAATTACCTGTTGTCTGGAGTCTTACCATTTTTACAGTTCATGCTAATTTGTAACAAAGGGAGTCATTTGAAATTAAAGCCTACTATGGCAGTCTTTTGTATGGTGTGTTTCTGCCCGAGTATGTACCCTGTATAGTGAGTCTTTGTGCACTGAGCAACATAATGGTAGATGTTTCATCGTTATTCTGAAAAATTTATGCTCTCCTAGTGTTTTTCAAATTAGACCAAAACAGGGAAATAGAGTATGGTTAAGAGAATGATTCCATCAGAGGATCCATTGTGTCCCAAATAAAGCATTGGGGCCCCTTCCCTGGATCAGTGATATTTCTGAATGGAATCTGTTAGTGCTATCATCTTGCACTTACTAGACAGAAAGGGGGGAATGTCTTGATTCTAATGTCTTCAATGTTGCTTTGACTTCCAGGTGCGGGTATAGGAGAGGTGGGAGTGTCCATTGTTGATCCTACTGGAAAGAAGGACACTGTGGAGTGCAATATTGAGGACAAGGGGAACAGCAGCTACCGGTGTACTTACAAGCCCACGAAAGAGGGTGTCCACACCATCTACATCACTTTTGCTGGAAGTCAGATATCCAAGAGCCCCTTCACTGTCACTGTGGGAGAAGGTATGGGCAGTATTGATAATTTCTAAACCATAGAGATGAGCACTACTCAACCTGCTGTCAGTTGGCATCTTTCATCAATAACCTCAATTTTTAAGCTTGATCTAAAAATCCACTCCATTCCATAATCGGTAAGAAAGTGATGCTGAATCATGCATCTTAACTCTTCAGCCTCTAAAAGTATTGGCTGTCATTTTGAGGTAATATTTAGTTATTAATAGTTGTAAGTTTAATCAGTTTGGAATTTGCTTTTTTTAGTGTAAAGAGGGGTGATAGGATCTTTTTGGATAATTGATAGAGGCAAGAACTATAAATAAGATCCTTGTACATTGGAGGGAATATATTTACTTATCTTAGATGTTAGCTTTAAACATTCATTGTCTTGCCAATTCCCCCTGTCCCCAAAGAAAAGTGGTTAAAATGCAATATTTTTACAATCAAGAAATTAGTACTAAATATCTAAAACGTTTAAGTTCAGAAAACTCCACCGGGTTGTTTCAATCATTTGGTTATGGTATTCTGAATGTATCTTGGTAAGGCTTGTTTTCAGACTAGCAGAATGTTTTAGATCTGTATTGTGTGCTTTTTCATTTTTTGATCTTTTCTTTCCCTCAAAATGCTTTCCAGTCCAACTAGGACTTTTGGTGATGTCCCCTTCTCTCTGGATGAACTTTTTCGACTTCTGATGTCATTTCCTCTCTCCTTCGGTACTAGAAGTGTGCTATGCATGCTTGTATCTGTGCTTTTATGCCGTGTCATAAAATTGGAAATTATAGACCTTAAATAGCATCACAGTTTTAAATATTAACTGGCACTATGTAACTTTCATTGCATCAGCAAATTAATATTGGGCTTAGAATTGCCCTATATGGGAAAGGGTTTTTAGCAGTCTCGGACTAAAGATGCAAATAGCATCTCTGAAGTTAGTTCCTTGTTTTAAAGGCTTTGTAGTGCATGGTGTGATGTTCTAACATACACAATTTGTTTTATATTAAGTAGCTGGTCTCCATTTGAGTACATTACTCCTAAACTGTGCATTGCTGTAATCTATTCTGTCTTCTGCAAGAGGTCTTGATACTTTTCTCTGCATTGTGCTGCTTTTCTTACTTTTGACTCTTGCTGGGTTTGAGGTGACAGGCTCTTTATTGAACGGGGGTTTGTGCTTTATCTAAACCATGCAGAAACCTCAATGCGGAATATGCTGTCACATTTCGAAAGTATTTTCAGTCAAGACCATTTATCTTTCTTGGTTAGTGATCCTGCTTCCTTTATTTCAGGAAATGGTTATCCTTTTTTTATAGCGAATGTTATGAGGGCATGTAGACAACAGACCCAATACCACTTGATGTTTTGCAGATGCAATGGCTCCCTTTCTAAAGAGCTTTGTTCCTTGCTCTCCGCCTTGTGTAGGCATCATAATGAGAATGCAACCTCTTAAATATATTTGAAAACCATCCTATTATGCTATAGGTTTGCAGCCATTAGACAGAGCTGTTGTGGTCCTCAAAGTAGGTCCATTGGTTGCTTGGCAACATACCTCAAAAGCCACTATTAACCACCTGAAGGAGCCAAATTTGAATCTTTCCGAACCTCACCAGTGTTGACTTGAACCGCTTTGTGCTACCACTTGGGGGAATCTTGACACTTGTTGGTAGCCAATAAAGGGACTGCTTAAGGTCTGAGTTCAGTTTGGCTTAAACATGAAAGAGCCATGGTTTCCATTCATATTTTTAAATTTCCTGGTGTCATTCTTTTAAAACACTCTGGGTAAACAAGATAAGACCTGCAAGTTCAAATAGGGTAGTACAGTATAACTTATCCAAGGATGTCAGTATTTTTAGGAGACCACACTCATCCTTTTCTAACGATACCTTGTATCTCTTCCACCAGCTTGTAACCCATCTCTCTGTCGGGCAAAAGGCCGTGGACTTCAGCCCAAAGGCCTGCGTGTCAAAGAGACTGCCGATTTCAAAGTTTACACCAAGGGTGCCGGTACAGGAGATCTGAAAGTCACTATCAAAGGACCAAGTTAGTATCGTGGCTTTCCATGCTGATAAAGTGAAGGTTGAAACTTGTTCAAATTTAAAATTGCATGGTTTAATTGCATTTGTTTGGCCCTCTCCAGAGGGTCTGGAGGAGCCTTGCAAGAAGAAGGACCTAGGCGATGGGGTGTACAGCTTTGAATATTACCCAACCACCACTGGGAACTACACCATCACCATTACATGGGGTGGTCAGCAGATCCCTCGCAGGTGAGCCATGGAACGTCATGGATGTTGCAATTAATGTTCATGTTGACACAAGTGTCACAATGTTTTTAATTGTACATTACATTCTGAATATTTTCAGATTCTGTTTCTGGTCTTTTGTTTTAAAATTCTCTGTAATCATCGAGAATGAGAAGCACTCTAAGATGTTCGTTCTAAGCAGTCTTTCTGACTGGAGGTTGACTCTTGCGCAACTTGATAGTAAACTTGGGAGGTGAATAAGCGTGGAAGGTTAAATCTTCGTTTCCTCAGCCAGTTACCAGTGTGCATTTACCACACAAGTCCCTGAATGGGGAAAAACGCATATCTTGGCTTTTTTCCGCCAGTTCTTGAATTCCTGTGAATTTTTAACTTGTCTCCAGTTGGTTAAATCTACAGGGTTGCTTTTACATTTTGCAGAGTCAAAACCAATTGCAAGTACTGACTTTTTTTTTTTTTTTTTTCCCTCAGCCCCTTCGAGGTAAAAATCGGCACCGAGGCGGGACCGCAGAAAGTGCGGGCATGGGGTCCAGGGCTGGAAGGCGGAGTCGTTGGGAGCTCAGCAGACTTTGTGGTGGAAGCAGTGGGAGATGATGTGGGAACATTGGGTGAGATCTTTGCGATATGACCTAGTTGCAGAGACTCCTCCTGTATTTTTCTTAAACCTGGTACTATTCTGTTTTTCCAACCTGAAGCTTACGGGAGCTAAATCCTATAAAGTCCTCTATTCCAAGACTGTCCCAAGAAAATGAGTGGGTGGGACACAGAATTGTTTAAACTGCAGACAGTCATATAAGCAAGCAGAAGACAAATGATGTCCTTTCATCCTTTTTATTCGACTACTCTTGCATCTTGATAAGTTGTGTATTTTCCTCCTGTTGCATGTTTTTACTAATGGATCAGCGTGCTTGTCCCTAAGCCCATTGTTGGCATCTCCCAGGCTTTTCAGTGGAAGGGCCCTCTCAGGCTAAGATCGAGTGCGATGACAAGGGTGATGGCTCCTGCGATGTCCGCTACTGGCCCACCGAGGCTGGGGAGTATGCAGTGCACGTCCTGTGCAACAACGAGGACATCCAGTACAGCCCCTTCATGGCCGAAATCAAGCCATCACCAGGGAAAGACTTCCACCCAGAAAAGGTAATGTTCTTCCATAATCTTAAAGCTCTACATCCAAGCTACCGTAGAAGGCCATGAGACTGGGACCAATCATTTCGAAATACCATTGGAAAGGGTAGAGTAGGTAGGTCCTAGAGTAGTGTAGTAGTAAACTCTCCAAGTATATCTTGCAGGCCTATTGGCATGATGTTGATGAAAATGTATTTACATTTACACATGAATTTGACAATATAGAAGAATATTTCAGTGAGGTACAGCTCAGCAAGTAGTGACTGTTTGACCTGAATCAGTCTGGATTGGATTTAGATTCGGTTCCTCCTTTTAACCTGTATAACATGGAGAAATGCTGCTCGGTGGAGACTTGCGCGTGTTTCACACCCTGTGTAGAGGGATTTTGAAATGCTGATCTGACGGGTTTCTATGTGGGGTGCCTATACTACAGGTTAAGGCTTACGGCCCAGGACTGCAAAGCACTGGCTTGGCAATGAGCAAACCAGCCGAATTCACAGTTGATGCCAAGCAGGGAGGGAAGGCCCCACTGAAGATCCAGGCTCAGGTACAGTACACGCTTGACCGCACGGTGCTTCTGCAGAGCCAAGACCTTTGTAGCCTTGGCAGTTGGGGTGCAGGGGGAAACCAGATCTGATGTGATATTTTGGAAGTGCAGTTTTATTAAAGCATTTTACATTGTTTCAGTGAAGCATGGTGCAGATTTCTTGAAGGCCTAATTCTAGCAGCCTGCCAAGACTAAAAGAATGAGTTTCAACATTTATCTTGGCCCAACCACTTTCAGTTTTAACAATGTAAAGTAATCATGTCGGACACATCAGCCTTTCCATCTGTTGCCTACAGGATGGTGATGGTAACCCTGTGGATGTCCAGGTGAAAGACAATGGCAATGGTACCTACAGCTGCTTCTACACCCCACGCAAACCCCTCAAACACACCGTCATGGTGTCCTGGGGTGGAGTCAACATTCCAGACAGTCCCTTCCGGGTCAGTATTTAACAAGCAGGGAAGAATTGTAACCAGGTATAAAAATTGAGTAACTGCATTTACAGCAATCCATGGAAGAACATTTTGTTTCTCTAGCGAATATGGATGCATTTTAAAGAAAAGTTAAACAATTCTTGGATCTGTGTTGGGAAATACAAGGCTTAAGTTAAATATTGCAATGTGATTTTTAATTTGAGTTTACTTGCACATTTCTCTTGTCTTTGTGTTGACCAAATTGATCTATTTTGCTTTAGTTTTCTACCCTTGTGGAGGCCCTGTGCCACCCTGAAACTTGGTTTCAACAGTGTTGCTTCATTAAATCCTCATGGGTGTAAACTGGAATGTAGATGCTGGCCTGTCTGTTAACTTGCATGTTTTCAAGTAATACAAGGAGGTCAATTTTTTGGGGGAATACTGAAGGGAACCATAATCTTAGAGTACTTCATCTCTTAAACCCAGTTAAGAGCAGCATTCTTGAAGTGTATGATCCAATATAATTGTCTATAGTCAGATGGTATTGGTTACCACATTTGAGAATTAATGTAAAGAGTTCCTTAGTCTCTTCAGCTATCTGAAATGAAATCTGCATTGCTTGGATCCTTTTCCCACTGTCCTGTCATGTTCACATTTAACAATTCTTTTCTATTGGCACGTGTCGTTATCCTCCTGTTAAAATAAAACACAGCCTCTGGTCAAATACCAAAAGTTCTAGAACATGCCATTGTTCATTTATTTGGGAATAAACTGTATGAGCAATTTTGGTCTAGGGATTGTGCATAGTAAAAAATACGCTTTTTAAGGCTACTAGTGACTGCTGGATGTTTGCCCATTCTTCTTATGGGCCTTAGTGTTGTCTTTGCTCTTGGCTTCACAATCTTGCAGAACAGATCTCTGAATTTATTTACACAAAGTCTGGTACTTAGTGCAACAGTCTTTTAAATCTGAACTCTGCTAACGTGGGAGTTGGTGCTGATGGCTTCTTTTTCAAGTCTGTAAATATGGTATCTATAGTTTTACTGTGGGTGGTCCTGGAATTCTTCCACATTTGGTTGAGGAATCCTGGTATCATGCTTGATCTGGTTTTCTAATATGAAGCTCATTTTCATATCGCTCTCTTTCACATACCTCCCATTCAGGAGAAAAGCAAATGTATATTATGCGGTGCTTGCTTGTGCATCTGTAGGGGTGCAAGAAATCGCTAGTTAGTGTAATTCTGAAAGTTTAAGAAGGCCCTTAATCAAAATTGGCACTGTTGCATACATTGCTGGTACCCTTGTATTAATTCACTTCCTGCAGTTACCATTCTTTATATTTGAAGGTCAGAATGACCAGTTACAGAGAGGGCCAAACAGTTCTGCTACAGCATTATTGGTTACTTTTGAACATAAGGATAACTAACCCCAAATCTACAAATCACACTTAAGTTCTAAAAATACTGCATCTCAACTGCATGGATTTTGGTAAAAAGTCATTTATTACCCGTTTTAGCTTCCTTGGACAGGCTCCATGTGGAGTCAGACTAAAACTCAAAGTAGTATGGCTCTTTAGTAGAGCTTGAAAGGATTCACATCCAAGTACAGCAGCCAGCTGTTCATCCCCCGTTTTTCACTTTTTGGGCTCTGGTCTTTTTCCCCTCAAAATGAGGTGCTGCACACCAGGCACCAGACACTAAAGCAGATGCTTTAAAATTTTTGAAGCACCGTAAGGTATTGAGTGCTAGATGAAAGTTGGAATATGTACAGGAAGATCGTATGAACAGTTTGGCTTGAGTCTCTAGATTCTCTAGCCTCATCCCCCCCCTCCCCTCCCTCTTGTTTCTAGATGAGCATTGGTGCTGGCAGCCACCCGAATAAGGTCAAAGTGTCAGGACCTGGGGTGGCTAAGACTGGCCTGAAGGCTTTCGAGCCGACTTACTTCACTGTGGACTGCTCTGAGGCTGGCCAAGGTATTTATTGCTTTTGAAATCTGCAGGGAAATTTATAGCTAAAATGTTATCTTGGTATATTCAAGTCAACTGTAAATTAACCTAAGCAGACAACTATCCATATGAATAAAATGAATTGATGAGTTGCTCTTGACATCTGTTGCTAAAGGGGACATCAGCATTGGAATCAAGTGTGCCCCTGGAGTGGTTGGTCCTGCAGAAGCGGATATTGATTTTGATATCATCCGCAACGACAATGACACCTTCACGGTCAAATACACCCCTCCTGGTGCTGGAAGCTACACCATAATGGTGCTCTTTGCTGATCAGGTAAGCACACAGTCTTAGAATATTTGTGGAATCTTCACAATTCAGTATTTTTTTGTATATTTGAAGTTCAGTCAACTTTGTTCCAATGTATTAAGATTAATTTTATAGTAAATGGGTTTATTTTTGTGTTGAAACAAATCTGGGTAAAATGTTTATTTATCATGGCTGCTTTATTTGTTCTTTAGCATGTGATGAGCTCTTGCCTGAAAACAGCCGCAAGGCATGTCTTTTAGAAGTCTTCAGTGTCATTGTTTGCTACAGGCATTGTCATGGTCTCGTGTTTCATATTTATGCATTCGTGGCAAGGGAAAGTTTAGATATAACATTCCTGTTGCCTTAAAGTTCAAAGGGTGTTGGGTTACTGACCTAACAGTCCTGTTCTGGGTTTTTGTGTTTTCAGGCCATTCCAATGACTCCCTTCAGAATCAAAGTGGACCCATCCCATGATGCTAGCAAAGTCAAGGCAGAGGGGCCAGGGCTGAGCAGGAGTGGTAAGAACTTGGCCTGTGACTTTTGTAAAAGTCGTTCTGACCATTTCTAGAAATGGTTGAGTTGCTGTACATCAGACTGCCCAGTGACACTAGTGTAGAGAGGGCTGTGGAAATACAGTATTTTAAACATCTCTTGGGAGCACAGGAAAAATGAGACATTGTATAAAACTAGTTTCAAAACTATTTAAGCTTTGTACTGTGCAGACTACTCATGTAATGGAAAGCCCTGGAACAAATGCAACGTGTAGCGGTTGCTGTGTCTTCCTGATGCTGCATTGTATAGACCTTGGGACATGCACTGTGGCGAAGTGGGTAATATGCTGTCCAGTGTGTTGTAAACATCTGTGGAAAGCACCCGAGTAACAGTACAAAATAAAAGGCAAATTGACTTTCACAGAAAGATTTGGTTTCCTGACCCACAAAAGTCCAAAATTTTTAAATGAACAAAATAAAAACCGGTCAGTGCCAAGGTATAGTAAATTTATCACCATTACTGCAATAATAGTAGTACCAACTTTCACTAGGAAATACTAATACTGTGGGAAAGTTCTTAAAGGTAGAACTACTGTCTACAGTAGCATGTAAATCAGTCAGCTTTGTGCAGTTTTCTAAATGTACAGTCAAAGAGCTGATGCTACTACTCTCCTTACCAGATACCCACTCTACCCACTTTTTTTTTTTTTAGGCATTGAGTGGAACAAGCCAACCCACTTCACTGTGAACACTAAAGGAGCAGGCAAAGCCAAGCTGGATGTGCAGTTCACTGGCCCAACCAAAGCCGATGCAGTGAAGGACTTTGATATTGTCAACAACCATGATAATACCTACACTGTCAAATACACTCCAGTACAGCAGGTATGAAAACCTGTTTGAGGGGCATCTGAAGAATTCTTCAAATACCATACTGTGAGGAATCCAGTAATTCATGGCAGCAATCACGATGTATAGATACAGCTGTATATGTAGTTGAGGCTAAATCTGACTTGAACTGCCATCTGTGGGACCTTACAACGCTCTTTACTGGCTTGATGTAAAAAATTGTATATTCCTGAGAACCTTGTGTTAGTGACAAATGTGCAACTAAGTTTTTGGTCATTGCAGGGTAATATGGGAGTGAACGTCACGTATGGTGGAGACAGCATTCCCAAGAGTCCTTTCTCTGTTGGTGTGGCCCCATCTCTTGACCTCAGCAAGATTAAAGTGTCTGGGCCAGGAGAGAGTAAGTATAGACATTTACATTCACGAGCATGTTTCTGCAAAATTTGAAGGGAGCCTATACAGATGTCCAGTGTTGGAATAGATTATACAAGAAATGTAATTCATTAACCAGATTGATGTAAGGATCTGATTCTGTTGTATTTTCTCATCCTTCTGCATTTTACATTAGAAAACTTTATTACTATAACTGCTGTGCAGACTGTTGTACAGACACATACAACAAATGCCTTGAGGCATTTAGGCAGAGTCAAGCTTTTGTAATCCCAGGCTGTAGGACGGTTGTCTTTTTTAGGTTGGAGAATGTTTCCCCACTAACAGATGTCTAATCAGTTTTTAAACTGAGCTTTTTCTTCCCACTCTTTTTGGGATTGTTCAAGATAATAAACTTTATTTTATATAGCGCCTTAAAGGTGGCTTCTCAAAGCGCTTTACAGGATGACAATAACAATAAATAAGAAGACTACAACAATAAATAAGAAAATTTCACAAGACAGGACACAATTAAAATTACAACAATACAACAATAAGCTTGCAGGCCAAAAGTTTCTCCAGGTTCTCAACCCTGCTCCTCTTTGCTTCCAGAGATGACTGTTGGTAAGGATCAGGAGTTCACAGTGAAGTCCAAGGGGGCTGGTGGGCAAGGCAAAGTGGCAGCCAAGGTCACAGGTCCCTCTGGCAAGCCCGTGCCCTGCAAAGTGGAGCCTAGCCTGAGCCCAGAGACGAGCCAAGTGCGCTTCATCCCCAGGGAGCAGGGGCCCTATGAGGTGGAGCTGACCTACGATGGAGCTCCTATCCCTGGCAGCCCATTCCCGGTTGAGGCAGTGGCACCTGCAGATCCATCCAAGGTGAAGCTAGGGGCTCGAACTTGAGCACCCAAGAGAAATTGTTTAGTACCTAAAGATTTAAAGGCAAGTTACACATAGAAATGTGGATTAGTCTGGAGATGGTATTTGCATGCCCTGTGTCCAACTTTGCTTCAGGTAAGGTACCATCTGGTTTACGCAGTGTTCTTTTAAGCGTAGTTTCTTAAAAGAATACAGGATGTGGACTTAAGCTTCAAATTAGACCTAAGGTTAAGCTCCTCATTTATATCGCACATTAGGTGATTGCTGTAAAGTGCTTAGCAGGATTAACTTGATCAGAGTCCTAGGCAATAAACAAGTTTAGGATTTGCATTATTTAAAAACATTAAATTCTGGAATTTAGGTTCCTAATGAGTTGATTTGAAAATATTAAGGTCAGTAGAAAGTTACTAAATCTTCCTGGGATGGTGTTGATGCAATATGCCACTGTTGCATGATGTTATCGGTACACTCCTGGAACATGCCCGAGAGTGACAGTACCTCCTTCTTACTCCTTTCAGGTAAGGTGCTCAGGCCCTGGCTTGGAACGAGCCAAAGTTGGGGAGACGGGGAAGTTCAATGTGGACTGTACCAACGCTGGCCCAGCCGAATTGACAATCGAGATCATCTCCGACAACGGCACAGAGGCTGAGGTGCACATCCAGGACAATGGAGATGGCACCTACACAATCACTTACATCCCCCTCTACCCTGGTGTCTACACTATCACTATTCGCTATGGAGGCCAGGATGTGCCCAACTTCCCCGCCAGACTCACGGTGGAGCCTGCTGTGGACTCCACCGGTGTCAAAGTGTTTGGCCCTGGAGTTGGGAACAAAGGTGGGTGTTCATTTAAAACTCCTTTAATTTTAGAACTCCCCTTTCAGGTGATCTCCAGATGTCGCTCTCAAAAGCTTAAGCCTCATCCTCTGCTTTTAAAACTCTTCAAAGGCACCTGTTGCTGTTCTTAAATTTTTTAAAAATTGATTCCTTCAGGATGTCAAGCCAAGCATTTTCCTGTCGCATTGCTAAATACTTCTTAGCTGCCTATTAAGTAGATGGCAATGGGGACTCAAATCACTATCCTGGTAATTTGTATTTACCAGGATGAACTTGGTAATTTTGAGCAGACTACCCAATGAAACATCACTCTTAAGGTTATATACTTTTATTTAGGAGTGTATTAAAGATGCAATGCTCTCAAAATTGAGGAGTGCTTCATGATTACACTTTTTGCTCTCTAGGCGTTTTCCGTGAAGCTACCACTGATTTCACAGTGGACGCCCGTGCCTTAACCAAAAGCGGTGGCAACCATATCAAGACCCGAATCAACAACCCATCAGGCAACCGCACGGATGCCCTGATCCGGGACCTTGGCGATGGCACCTACCAGGTGGAATACACACCTTATGAAGAAGGTATCTTAAATGTGTTAAATTAGACTTGGAGCATGGTACCAATGCTGTTGTGATGTAAATTTTTAATAATGGTTAATTTAAATGAGAGAAACCACAAATTCAACATTTTCTACAAGTATTTCCCCGTCTGTTAGTAATCTTAACTGTCATAATGGTGCATCTCCAATGTTTTTAAGGTGTTCATAATGTGGAAGTGTGTTATGATGATGCCCCAGTGCCCAACAGCCCATTCCGCGTGCCTGTAACAGAGGGCTGTGACCCTGCCAGGGTGAGAGTTCATGGACCAGGGCTGCAGAGTGGCATCACCAATAAACCAAACAAATTTACTGTTGAGACTCGGTAGGTTTCATGGAAAATCAGAATACATGCTTTGTCAGTTTCTGCTCTGTATGTTTTTTTTTTTAAATTGGAAACATTCTTTAACTTTCCCCCCTCACATTCCTGTTGTCTTTTTGAACTGTAATTCATTCACATCTAGGGACTTGTTTCCAAAGATCTTTTGTTCCATTTAGTAATGCAGAATCATTCTGTTGCTGACACCTGAATAGCAATTTCTGTGCTCTGGTTGCCATATCACATGAGGTACAGTCTACCTTATAATGCCTTGAACTCAAACAGAATGCATTTGAGCTGATGCTGTTTGTACATACTTTTTGAATATACAATACCATTTAATTTAAATCTTTTAGTGAAATAACTAAATGGTAAGTAAAAGTTTCTATGCAGAAAATGCCCACTGGACTTCAGATGTGTAGGTCACCAAAATAAGCAGAGTGCCTAATTCTTGCAATGTCTTGTGTATCCTAGTGGTGCTGGCACAGGTGGTCTGGGTCTGGCAGTGGAGGGTCCATCAGAAGCCAAGATGTCCTGTACAGACAACAAGGATGGCAGCTGTTCTGTTGAATATGTGCCGTATGAACCTGGCACCTACAACCTCAACATAACCTATGGTGGACAGCCTGTGAAGGGTAAGCAAAGTGCTTGCACACCAAAAATGAGACTTGGCAAGCTTAAACAAGTAAATCAAAAGATGTGCGTTTAAAATGACCAGTCGTTGCTTTGTTGTGCCTTAGATTTGTAGAAGATACTTTCAAACCTAAATAAGATGATGTTTGGGGGGAGAACTGATCCATTCAGTTTGAAGCTTGATTTGTTTTCTGCTCTCCTGAGAGAAATCAGGTTTATTTATAACTGAATGCTGCTTGTGGAGTCTCTTGTCAAAATTTATAATGCATGTTTTGAACCTGACACTTCCTCTCCTGCAGGAAGTCCATTCTCTGTGCCCGTTCACGATGTGGTGGATGCTTCAAAGGTGAAGTGCCTGGGACAGGGTCTGGGCAACAATGTGCGTGCCAACATACCCCAGAGCTTCACAGTGGACACCAGCAAGGCAGGGGTGGCACCTCTCCAAGTGCGGGTGCAAGGACCCAAAGGTAGTCTTGGCTTGATGTCCTTGAAGAACCCCATCATTTTGAACCTCTGGTTACCCTGCTTTTCTTGAACTGCAGTCATTTATGCACTTCCTCCTTTTGATGATTACAGGAGAATAAGTTATTTCACAGCCTCAGAACCATTTTTATAGTTTAATGCATTTGAGAGAGGCACCTGGGTGCTTTTAAGAAAACTAAAACAATTGTTTCTATATTTCAACCAAAGAAAAGTTGGAACAAAAACCAGTGACAGAACATCCTGCAGAAATGTGTAGGGAAATCTGAAACACTTCCATTAACAATCGTTTTCTAACTTTTGATCTTTTGTGTCCATTAGGTATTGTGGAACCAGTGGAGGTGGTGGATAATGGAGACAAAACTCACACTGTCAGTTATGTGCCAACGAGAGAAGGACCATACTCGGTCAGCGTGTTGTATGCAGATGAGGAAATTCCACGCAGGTAACCAAATATGAAACCTTTCTGAGCTTGAAATGATCCGGGTTTTAAAACATTACATTAAGATAAATATTTTTATTAATTGAGTTAACAGGTTTTGCCCTGAGTAGACCTGAAAGCTATGGGAAAGGCTTCCTTTAATTTTAAAATGGCCAGCTTATATAGTACACTTGTAAACATGAGACTCATGAACCCTGAGTCTTCTATAGTTGCTGCATTAAAAAAAAAATGGAGTTTTACTCTATTGTCCAAGTAAGCTGCAGAGTTCAATTGTTTTAGGAAATGTTTAGGTTATACGTTTTTTTTTTTAGGATGTAATGATTGTGTGTATTTAACCAGAGCTTTGTGGGTTCAGATTCACAATAGGGTACTGCTGTTGTATCCTATTCCAGGGTGCTTCTTGCATAGCTCCAGTAAAATACTTTAATGCTTATATGTTTAAGTTGGCAAATTTAATGCGAGATCTGTCTCGAATCTAATTTTTCTTTCTGTGCTTGCACATCAGTCCGTTTAAGGTCAAAGTGTTGCCTACTCATGATGCCAGCAAAGTGAAGGCAAGCGGGCCTGGGCTCAACACCACAGGCGTGCCTGCCAGTCTGCCCGTGGAGTTCACCATTGATGCCAAGGATGCAGGGGAGGGGCTGCTAGCAGTGCAGATCACGGTAAAGTGCAGTGGTTTCGGACAGACCAGTCAGGACTTTGCTTGTTGCTCTTCATTTATAACAGGGCCACTGTCAGAAAGAAGACGGATCTAGTGTTTTTTCTTCCTCCTTGAAACAGGTCATTTTGAATACCTGTTCTGTATAAAGCACTATTACTTTTTATTGTAGGCTGGAGAACTTAAAGCCATTTTCAATAGTGACTGAAGTATACATTTAAACTAACAGTACTGTATTACTATCATAAAATTTGATTGTCCAGTTTTCTGCTTTTCTAACAGGCTTGAAAAACCATTATAACAAGGGCTCAAGGTATATTTACCATGCATAGGATTTGGAATTACTTTCAGAATGGTTTTGCACAAAGTTGCTAAAGCCCTTTTCCCTAATAGGCCAAACCTTGCTTTTAAATGAAAGCAAGCCACTGAATGACCGAATTGGCTATGAATTCCCAAAGCCTTTACTTGAAAGGGCCTCATTCTGATGGCTTACCTTTGTGTTCCCCTTTTGTGTATAGGACCCAGAAGGAAAACCCAAGAAAGCCAACATTCGGGACAACCAGGATGGGACCTATTTGGTGTCTTATGTCCCAGACATGACAGGACGCTACACTATCCTAATCAAATACGGAGGGGATGACATCCCATACTCTCCCTACCGAATCCGTGCTCTGCCAACTGGAGATGCCAGCAAGTGCACTGTCACAGGTACCCCTGAACTTCTTGCTTGTAAAGCAGATCGACTGCTGCAGAAACCAGAATCTTCAACCCTTCAGATTTGGGAAGGTTATTTTGATTTTATAAACGGCATAGGATTATTAATATACTTCCATGATTTCAATTAAATACGTCATTCTAGAAGTCAACTGGCACTTAAAGTTCTGGGTGCAAGTTATACATAGTCACCATGTTGTCAGGGACAAGAAGTAAAGTGATCGGAGATCCTTTAGGAAGTGAAGTACTGTGCAAATGCAAGTAATTATTAAAATGTGACTGTGCAACAGAACCAATGTCATGAAGAGCCGAAGATGGAAGCTGGATCTTAACAAGTTTTTGTTTTTTAGGGTTATACTGTACCCCATGAGTTCTTAAAAAAAAAAAAATAAGCTCCTGTCAGACATTGTAATCGGTGTGCAAAACGGCGCTAAAGCAACCCCCTCCTGCCCCTCACAAAGGGTCACCTGATTTTTCACGCTTTCACCAACACCCCAACACAATCTACTTCATTCTGCTGCTCACATTTAAATCACAATGTTTTTTTTATAATCATCTTTTGTTTTCGAGCACACTTTGTTGCTTTTTTTTTGTTCCTGTTGCAATTTTTTTCCCCAAAATTTTTTGATCTCACCTGTATCTTTCTTTGCTCTCTGCTTCTCACCTTCAGTCTCAATTGGAGGTCATGGGTTGGGTAAGCGCTTTGTAATTTTTTTGCATGAACACTGGCATTGGTATCCTACAATAATGCTATTAACCTGCAGCTTGCGGTATTTTTGCCTTTCTGCTTTTGGTATATTCCCAAATCCTGTCCTATATACTGACTATATCGGGGGGTGATTAAATTCTAAGGAATGTCTATTACTGTCTAGCAGATTTAAACAGGGATTAGAAAATGGTGTGGAAGCTTCCCTAGTAAAGAGTATTTACTTTAAAGGTTGGTCATGGTGCAAGAGTTCCATGTTCTTGGGTTTTTTGGAAGATGAATCTTGTTAAACCAAGAGCTATGGCTAATGGGGGGGAGGGATAAGAAGTCAGCTAAGCCAAAATTGGAAAAAGTACATTGGCATGCAGTTGGTTTTGACATGATTCTGCAGGGTCCCAATGTTGGGTTCTTGATGGGTGATGGTTTAGTGTGGTGTTGTCCTGGGGTCTTTCATTTAAGAGGCTGCACTTTATCCTTCTGAGAGAAGCATGTTTGCATCCAGACTAACTCCCCAGTGGTTTGGGTTTTCTGGGTAAATCTTTACAAAGACTCAGTTTAGGGCTCAGATAATTGGAGGGAAGAATGTCAGAATCTGTGGTTGGAGGTGAAGGACTGTAAGAATGAGAATGTGATCTAGTGCCAGGTGGGTAACTGGCTCTTCCACTACAGGTATTTGGCACAGATAACTCATTAAATCAAACAAGCTTGTTCTGCCAATCCATCAATGGAGTGCCTTTGAAGGAGTGGAGACTTGACTGAGTAAGATGGAGAAGCACTTTTGTCCTGGGAAGCTACTGTGTTCTGAATTGACTTCTAACTGAACGCTTGGTCACCTTGGTCATTTTCTGGATATCTACTGGTTGGCTTATCAGAAATCAATCTAAAACCAGCATGGTTTTATTTCTTAGATAGGGTTGCAGCATCAAGTTTTAGAAAAGAGCTGTTAAGCGAGTTACTGCAGGATTTAGGTGATTCAACCTTAATGGGAATAGTTTAGGTTCTATTCAAGATTGAGATTTTAGAGGACTTGGAGTTTCTCTCCTTGGGTTCTGGCTGTGTAACAGCTTTACCAAGTTCCATTCCTTGAATGTGGTACCTAATACTCCTCTAACTTGGTAGCATGGCTCTGGAATGCGCTTTCCCTTTGGCTGATGGAAATTAGCCTGTATATAGTTATTGGTAACAACAGAACTAGTTGGTTCCCAGTATTCAGGAATCTGGAGAAACAAGAAAGGAGGCAGGAAACCAGAAATGTAGTTTGGGCTTATCAAAGTAGTCCAGATGCAAAGCGGACAAGCCAAAAATACAAATTTTAGTTGGAGATTCAACAGAAACTTATCCCCTATAACAACCATTGGTTCTTTCGACTGGGCTCGTGACATAATTGCTTTAATTTTCTATGCAGACCTTGCATGTGAGTGGAATTGTTCTTCGCCTTCAACGTAGTAATATCAAAGGGATTTCCATTTTTAGTTGAGTCAGGATATAGTTGGCATCAAGGGGCACAGTGCAAGTCACCTAGTGCCTGTATTGCACTTTTCAAAACCTTGAAAAGCTGTTGCTAACAAAAGTTGGGATAATTATTGGAACACATAGAAAAAGGGGCTAGGAATTAAATCTAAAATTAATGAAATCTAAAATCTACATTTTAGTTCCCTTGAAGTCATCAGAGCAATTGAAGAAAATTGCTTGCAATGCAAATAGCATGTTGGTTTCTCCAGTTTCATGAATGTTGTGGTACATTTTGGAGTCTAGGTCTTGGTTGAAGCATGGTATGCATTGGGACAGATTTGTTGGAGGAAGGGATAGTTGGGCACCCATGTGATTGGGTGAGGGATTTTGATCACCGCTTTTCCTTATGACATTGGGCACAGGTGCTGGAGTGGGCCCCACCATCCAGATAGGAGAAGAGACGGTTATCACAGTGGACGCCAAGGCAGCTGGCAAGGGCAAGGTGACCTGTACTGTGTGCACCCCTGATGGCACGGAGGTGGACGTGGATGTTGTTGAGAACGAGGACGGCACCTTTGACATCTTCTATACTGCCCCACAGCCTGGCAAATATGTCATATGTGTGCGGTTTGGAGGGGAGCACATCCCCAACAGCCCCTTCCAGGTCACTGTAAGTAACACTTCTATGTACTGGGTTTTTCCTTGCATCACTAGTTTGAGTGCATCGGTTTTACTACTGACCGAGATAGGGAGGGTGGAGCTTTGTGCTCTTAAAAGCAATTATGTTGAGAGTTTGTCAGACATTGCCATGTTCAACAAAAACAATCTGAATCAATTTAGAGATCAAGAATCTGGGTCTTACCTTAAATGAGTGGAGTACCTGAACAAAATTTCTACTTGGGTTTCCAGTTCTTGAATCTTCCAAGCTTATAGTTTGAATGCATGATAAAGTCCATGTGACAAGATTTGTTGCAATACTAATTTGAATTTGAGCCCCTAAATATTCTTCTGTAGTCTGCAGTTTTATGTACCATTTTATGGGTGGTGTCGAGGTTGATGTTTAGTGTGGACGGTGGAAGATTTTCTGTCTTTGTCCTGCTGTATCCTCATTCTTTAACAGCTGCCATATTTGAAGAAGGCCAAGGTCTGACTCTGAAGGCAGTTTTCCCTCATGTTCACTGACTTGTCCACCTTCTCTTCCCCCAAACCTCTCTTCCCTCCCTCTTCCTTTGGATTTCTAGGCCCTGGATGGTGCACCCACTGAACAGATGCTACAGCAGACTCAAGTGCCCCAGTATGCCTACGCGCCCGGTGTAGGGCAACCTTGGGTACAAAACCATTACCCTTTTTTTGGTCTTCTGGAAACCTGTCTCCTTGTGACTTCCGTCTTCATTTCAGTGGGCTGTAGCGTTTTTGTTTACAGAGGATTCTTATCTCTTTATTGAATTATTTTATTTCAGATAGTGGTTTTGCTGGGGTTATCTTTTTATTTACTTTAAGAGTCAGTTTTGGGCACTCCCAGGTAGCTTCGCCAGTAGAGGTGTTCAGATGGAGTGCAGATCCAGCCTTGTAGGACAAATCCCCAATTTGTGAGTGAGCTGGAATGTTTGCCAATATCCAATAAACCAGTGTTAGAAAGGGAAGAAAAGACTTAAGGGCACTTGGATTGGGATTACATTATGCAATATAAATGGAAGTGTAAGAACTTGTACTTTCTCCTTTTACATGGGTCAGTTACTAAACTTACCCATGAAATGGAGTGGATTCAGAAATTCAAATCTTGTGACCAGGTTAATGCTAATTTTATATCACATCCAAGAGCTCTCAAGTATTAAACTTATTCCAGCTGTCCTGAATTGAAGTGGAAAGCCTTCATTTGAAGGTGTGGGGAAGGTAGACTCCACCGCCTTCAGTCATGGACCTTTTTATAGATCCTAATCATTTTTTTTTTAGCAAGCCTACTTAAATGATAGTGGGAGAATCCCTCTTTGTGTTGGGCTTGTATGCATTCTAAATTACAAGCTCCCCACTGCATAACTTAGGGTTAAGGTTTATAAGAAGTTAATCGGTCCTTTAGCAGGCCGGCTCCATGTAAGCGATTAGCAGCTTGGGGCACAAAGCAGGATTTCACCCTGGATGTGCTGCCAATTTATCTTGGTGTACATGCACACTTGAAGATGAGACGCCAGTGTATTTGGTAGCGCACACAAATCCCACACTGACCTGGGAGACCTGGACTGAGAGAGCTGCACTTTACTCACCTTCTGCAAACCTTAGGAAGATTTTTTTTCATGTATTTGCTATGAAAGTAGACTTTCACCAGGCTGTTTTTCCTGTTTTTACTGCTTTGTTTTGACTAACCCAGTTCTTGGACTCATGTGTATGAAGATACTGACATGGTTAATGTCTTGATTTCCTCCCCAGTCTTTTAAAGCCATCCTGTTTTTTGCCATCTGTTTTGTTGCATTCATTTCACCATTAATAATCATGCTCTATCCATCAAGGGGAGCTAATGGGGCTGTTTAACTTGTTCCTTCTTCACCAGCCTTCTTGTTCCATTCCTGCTTCTCCAGGAGTCTTCATTTCAGATTGTCTGGTGGCTATGTCCAGTCACTTACTCTGGGAAAGTGATCTGTGCGTCAGTGTTTTTGTTTTCAGCTTTTATGTGTGGGTCTGTAACCTCAGCCATTTCATGCTTTTATTTACTTCCCATTTCTTTCCAGCCGTCTTTCCAAGCATTGTGAGTGTCACGTGGTGATGTTAACCATTTGTGGAGTCTGCTTCAGACAGCAGCAGGGGTCTAGCTTTAAGGTGGCTAGTTTGAAAATGTTTGAGTTCAAGATGACTCAGTGCTCTAGGTTGCAGAAGAACAAATAGAGGTTATATTTGTTTTTGGTAGGGTATTAACCTCTACTTCCTAATGTATATAGAAGGTTCTATGTTGTGCCATGTATTTTATCTGGATTTGGTCAGATGTTGGGGAACATCTGGTTTCTCTTTGTGCACAATCTACAAGTAAAATCTGTTTGGAAGACCCAGCTTAATCTTTCTTATCAAAGTTGAAATGCAATGGCAAAGCTATATAACACTTGGAATTAAATCAAGGAATGCTGCTGGCAGGGATCATTAATCACTTTTTGGTTGAGCTCTGCAGAATCTTTATGCACTACAAATGTTAGATGTTCTAGAATAGGGTCTAGTTTGCATTTGAATTTAGTAAAGTTTGCCAAATATCCACCTTTTCTCACGCAATATGCTGCTGACTGAAGTGTCCAACAATTTGTCCTGTCTGTTCACTTGACTTCTCAGTAAAAGTTTAAACTTCCCCACCATTTAGGCTACTGACCGCCCAGTGGGCATGAATGGGCTTGATGTGGCTGGACTGCGGCCTTTTGACCTAGTCATTCCTTTCACCATCAAAAAGGGAGAGATCACAGGTAAGTTCTGCACTTGCACCTTAATGGTTATTTGGATTTGTCACCCTTCTGCATAAAGATGGATCTGTCCATAGCCTAGTATAGCATGTTAGGCCTGATTCACAGGTCTGTGAGAATAGTGATGTTTATACCTTGGGAATGGATAATCCAGCTGGTTTGACAGGGCTCTTTAAGTCATTCGAAACAAATTCCCTGAGGTTTTGTATCCCTATTTATTTTTTGGAAGGTTAGTTGAGTTATATGGCTGAGGACTTTCCATCGGTTACATTTTTGCTTTGCATTTCATCTGTATATGCACAAAGCATATGTCAAATATGAAACAGGCAAATTCTTACTATAGTGTTTCAATCTAGAACCCGATCTTCTGTACATGCACCCTTTCTTTGCCAGCTGAGTCTTGCTTGCTGGAAGTTGGGTAGGGTGATAACTGATCACTGTAATGCTGAGTTACAATAAGGATTTTTTTCTCCTTTTTGTAGGTGATGTTCGGATGCCATCAGGCAAGATTGCCAAGCCTGATATTACTGACAATAAGGATGGTACTGTGACTGTCAAATATGCACCCACTGAGGCTGGCCTACATGAGATGGACATCAAATACGATGGCATCCACATTCCAGGTACTATTGCGCCCAATAACATTTGGCCATGTTGGAGGACTTATTTTGCCAATATCTTTTTGGCCAGTTTGAAAGCCTTTTATTACTTGGATTTAAGTTGGTTTGGCTTTAGATTTTCTGTAACTCAACCTATTGGTTTTGAAACATTTTCTTGAAATGTAAGAATGATTGAAATATCATGAGGGTCCAGAGAAGCTGTGTTTTCCAATGCATTTCTCTTGTGTGTACAGGTAGCCCACTCCAGTTCTATGTGGACTATGTGAACAGTGGGCATGTGACTGCATATGGACCTGGTCTGATCCATGGCATGGTCAACAAACCAGCAATCTTCACTGTCAACACGAAAGATGCTGGAGAAGGTAATTACCCCACTTCTCCAGTCTTACCTCTGAGGGAACTGATCCTTTTGTGTGACAGCCCTGATTAGCATGGGACATTTATCCTATGTACAGCATTAGATTATCTGACGGTAAATCCCCTAGATGCTAGTCCATTGCATGTGAACCTCACCATGAATAGCGATACCCATTTAAGCATTTAGGTTAAATGGAGCAATAGGAGTAAATTAATAAGAGTAATAGTACATGTTTTGCTTCTTGGCCAGCAGCCATATCACCCTGCAACTCACAACTGGTAACCCACTGAAGCTAAGCACGTGTGAGCCTGGTCAGTACCTGGATGGGAGACCTCCTGGGAAAAACTAAGGTTGCTGCTGGAAGAGTTAGTGGGGCCAGCAGGGGGCGCTCACCCTGTGGTCCATTTGGGTCCTAATGCCCCGTCCCCGTCACTATACTGTAAACAGGCGCCATCCTTCGGATGAGACTGAGGTCCTGACTCTCTGTGGTCATTCAAAATCCCAGGGTGTTTCTTGAAAAGGCCAAATTTCCCATTGGCCCTTACCAATCATGGTCCTCCTAATAATCCCCATCTATGAACTGGCTACATTACTCTGCTCTCCTCCCTACTGATAGCTGATGTGTGGTGAGCGTTCTGGCGCGCTATGGCTGCTGTCGCATCATCCAGATGGATGCTGCACATTGGTGGTGGTGGAGGGGAGTCCCCGTTACCTGTAAAGTGTTTGAGTGGAGTGTCCAGAAAAGTGCTATATAAATGTAAATTATTATTAATTATTCTAGGATTTAAATGGATAGAAGGCCTCTAACTACTGCTTCAGGCTGTTGTCCAATGAGCGCCTCCCAACAGCAGAATAGTTTGAGATCTAGATCAGCCTTGTGCATGACATGTTACTTAATATGGATTTACTTGTATATGATCAATTTCTTGTGGCATTGTTTCAGGTTAGAGAAGCCTTGGTATTTACAAAGTAGATAAATTGCCATATGGATTTATATAATTCACAAGTCTCATCTGAGATTAGGTTGATGCTGGATAAGAGTAGCGATGTTTTAAAGTGACAAGGTTGCTGTTATACTGACTTTAACCATTTTTTAAGGTGGGCTATCTTTGGCTATTGAGGGACCCTCAAAAGCCGACATCAGCTGCACTGACAACCAGGATGGAACATGTACTGTATCTTACCTGCCTGTTCTGCCTGGAGACTACAATATTCTGGTTCGATACAATGACAAGCACATTCCTGGAAGCCCCTTCGTAGCCAAAATCACTGGTAAGGACAAGTTTGTGTCCACTCTGACACTGCACCCACTGTGTGGAATACCACAGCCCTTAGAGCAGTGGTTCTCAATCTTGGAAACAACCCACAATCCCTCCCCACTTGGGTTTTGTCTTTCAGGTAAAATTCAAACTGTATAGTGATTCCATATGGTCACCAGTACAAAGTTTAAGCGTTCTTTCACTTTGTGGCAGAATATCTGTGATGCACTCGCAAAATTATATTTTTAGATTGCTTTCTGCATGTTGTGCAAAACTTGAACAGAATCTGGCACCAAACAGGAATTAGCAATTGTTTTATATCTGACTTTCCCAGACTATTTACTAACCTGTATGAAACGGTATATAAGCTGTAATGTGGATTGCCTTGCATTACAATTTGTTGTTGACAATGTAACGTGGCTTAGTTTAATACTGGCACTAAGGGGGTGTTATTTTAATGATTCAGTGTCTGCATAAACTCTGCTTCTGTGTATCTAATGGCACAGATTAAGATTACAACCACATTTGCCATTTTCTTGGATTTTAACAACTAAATGCAGTTTTCATGGAAGGTTTAATGGATTTCATTGAATTTGTGATGAAATGATTTTGGTTACTAAAATGATATCAAAGAATGCGATAGTTGGTAGAAAATGCGAGTCGGTGAAAGTGAATTGGGAGACATGAGATTAGAAGGCAAGTCATATTTCTGTAAGAAGTTTTGTTGAAGGAAATGCACTTAAAATTAACTGTACTGTAAGCTAAAAAGGTCTTGCACTCACCTGTTGGATCCCACGAGAGATCCCATACTCCACTGTTTTGAGAGCACCTGCCTTGAGTACTGTGTAAAGAACTGATTTTCTTTTATCCTCCCATCACACCAAAATGACATTTGTCCCTGATCCACCCCCCCCCCCCGTCCTTAAATTTACTTGCTGTTTTTCCACACTCCTGTTGTGGATGTTCACCTGCACATGGAAACAAGAATCCTATATGAAGGAAGTTTACTCCTCCATGTTCCTCCAGGCGATGACTCAATGCGCATGTCCCACCTCAAAGTGGGCTCTGCTGCCGACATCCCCCTGGACATTGGAGAGCTGGACCTCAGCCAGTTGACCGCCAGCCTGACCACTCCCTCTGGACGCGAGGAGCCCTGCCTGCTCAAGATGCTGCGAAACGGACATGTTGGTGAGTGCGGGGCTGGCATGAAAGGTGCCAACTAATGACCAGATCTTGCTATATGACTGAATAACAGTGCAATTATGGAAATCGCTTCTTATACTTCCATTTCTAATGGCGTAAGTGTAAAAGGCGCAAATTGTTAATGGGTCTTCTAAGGGTTACCTAAAAGCTAGGATTTTAAAAAGCTGTTTTTTAAACTTGCAGATATGTATATACTACCTAGTTATTGCTTATTATGATACTCTGATCTTGTTTTCCAAGAACTTAAAGGAGGAATTCAACACTGAATCTTTTGGGAGTTCTGCCCTACAATGTTAAGCCCAAATGAATATTTAAGTGGTAGTTTTGAGGTCTGACTGGATAAAGTAATGGGCTTGCTTGGGACCTTTTAAAATGCATGGTGAAAAGAGGCAATTTGGAATCTTTTCTAAGAAGTCTTTCTCCTCCACATCTAGGCATCTCTTTCGTCCCCAAGGAGATTGGAGAGCATCTGGTCAACATCAAGAAAAATGGACGTCATATTCCCAGCAGCCCCATCACAGTCATGATCAACCAGTCGGAGATTGGAGATGCCAGCCGTGTGCGGGTGTCTGGGCCAGGCCTGTCTGAAGCACGAACCTTTGAACCAGCAGAGTTCATCATTGACACTCGTGAAGCAGGTGATGGCAAATCACAAGGGAGCAACATTTAAAACTGGTTTAAAGCTAGTCTGGGGAGTAAATGGATGGATTTATTTTGTGGTGAAAATTGTTTTTGGCATAAAAGGTTTTAGTATGTGGATGTTAATCTTGCTTGTTGTGATATTGAGAAGGTACTGCTGATGTCTTGAAGTGCATGTGTGAATAAGTATTTTCTGTTTAGGTTATGGTGGCCTGAGTCTGTCCATTGAAGGCCCCAGTAAAGTGGACATCAACACTGAGGACCAGGAGGATGGGACATGCAAGGTGACTTACTGTCCCACGGAACCAGGAAATTACATTATCAACATCAAGTTTGCTGACCAACATGTACCAGGTAACTAAAAGGCAGACGGTAGAATAAGGTTTGCAGTATGATGTTTGACCTATTGCTTGGTTATTGTAGCTGTGAATCCATTAATTCTGGGATACCAATGTTGACTTCAGTATGGAAATCCATGAGTCCATTTGGATCCGCCAAACCTTTTGTATATATACTGCTGTCACTCATGTTGGATTAAAATCTTAATCTGTAAAAATGGACACCAGCTTCGGCAGATCCAATCAGTGTCCTTTACCTGTTGTGTAGTATTGGATGACCTTGGAAATCTGATCGCGATGCTCTTGTCCGCATTTTCCAGGCAGTGCATTCACCGTCAAGGTGACGGGAGAAGGGCGAATGAAGGAGAGCATCACGCGCCGCCGGCGGGCAGCTTCTGTAGCCAATGTAGGAAGCCAGTGCGACCTTAGTCTGAAGATACCAGGTATACAGTTGATGACATGAAGTCATTACTAACTCATTCAGCAAAACTAGAGAACCGAATAGGACATTTTAGCCTTCTAAACCATTTGCCTTTTGACAATGCGAGTGGCCTGTGTGACAAGAATTATCATAGCAACTTTGGAGTTTGCCTATCAGAAGAATAAGATGGTCCAAAGCAGGCAATAGCCACAATGGGATAGAAAATGTTGCTGCCACATGAGGTCCAATTCAGAAGGAGCTTAAGTTGTTAATGAAATGTCAACGATGCAGTGGTTTGACCTGTAAGAATAAAATGCCTTTGGGGAAGTTGTCTTGTGCATCAGATTGTCTACTAAATTCAATATGAATTATGGATTAATGGGCCAGATGGTTTTTAAATTGGATGTGTCCAGTAATAGTGAATAAAAAGTGTAGTGGTTATTCAACCATCTTGGTTTATGCTAGAATCCCATTTTCACATTCATTCTGTTGGTAGTTGAATAATGCCTATACAGCTGAGTTAATTGGCCAACAGTCTGAGTTGAGGATTTGTAAAAAGCAAATAGTCACATGATTCCTTTTTATAATGGAGATAAGTGTAATAAAGTGAAAGTTCTACTAAATACAACATATACATCCTGCTTTTGGAAGAGCTATAACTTTCTTTCTGTAAGATTTCATGTGATCTTGAGGATTTTAAACACTGTTAAACCTGATGGACTGAGCTCTTCAGTGCTGAAGATTCTGCAGATAAAGCCTTAATTTGAATTTACAGTAGTGGTACAGAATTTGTATTTTCAGCAAATGTGGTTGTGAAGGTAAAGATCCTAGAAACAAATGTAACTTTCTGCTTTCTGCCAGAAATCAATATTGGAGACATGACGGCCCAGGTGACAAGTCCATCAGGAAAAGTGCACAAGGCTGAGATCATGGAAGGGGAGAACAACACCTACTGCATCCGATTTGTGCCCACGGAGATGGGTGTCCACACAGTTAGCGTCAAGTACCAAGGCCAGCATGTGCCTGGCAGCCCCTTCCAGTTCACTGTGGGCCCTCTGGGTGAAGGAGGTGCCCACAAAGTGCGGGCAGGAGGGCCAGGCTTGGAGAGGGCAGAGGCTGGCATCCCAGGTAAAATCTTTTGAATGATTAAAACCTGGACATGAGTTGAGGTTCTCATTGGGGAAGGGTATTCCACTGTGACTGGGAATTCTTTACTCGCAAACCAATTTGAGGTTGATATCTTTGAGGTCAGGTAAGCACAACAGAAATGACTACTAGGGTGAGGGGGGCTGTTGTATACTGGATACAATACTGGCAGGCTAGGGCTCAGTCCCTTCAGTTTTGAGCAGGATGCTTGTTTACCAGAATCAGAATCCTAAAGGGTATAGACTGCTGTTTTTACACAAGATCATTTGGAACCTGAAATGAATTAATTTAAGATAGACAATAGGTAACACCTACTGCTCTGAGTGAAGAAATCTAGAACAGGCTTCCCAGTCAGTTTGTTCTCAAAGTCCTAGTACTTGTGACTTGCTTGTGATTATACTACCTGTTTTGGAAACATCGAATTGAAAATGCACATTCTGTGTAATGAAAAGATGCCATAAACTACTTACACATGTGCATTGTATAATAAAATTTAAGCACAATTAAGTCATAGGTTTATGTTCTCTGCAAATGGTAACCATCTTTTGACCTGCAAAATCCTCTTTAAAAAAAACTACCTATTTCATTATCATAATAGCATATAACTTGATTTCTTGAACTTAAGCATTGTGATCATATTAAGTTTTAGACTTTCCCCATCTCTAGTTCATCTAAGGTGTTAATCAGCAGTGAAAATCGTAAAAACATGGATTTAACTTGGAGGGAAAACCTAGATATCCACTCTTAAACCTTAACTTTTTTCACCCTGTTTAGCGGAGTTCAGTATCTGGACACGTGAAGCAGGTGCTGGGGGTCTGTCAATTGCAGTGGAAGGACCCAGCAAAGCTGAGATTGCCTTTGAAGACCGCAAGGATGGATCCAGTGGTGTCTCCTATATTGTGCAGGAGCCTGGTAAGCAGTTTCTAGTATGGGATGAATGCTTGTCTCATTCAATCAAGGAAAATCATGTAGGGCATTCATTAAAAAGGCTTTCCATTTGGTTCCTTGTAGCTTGATTGTTAATTAAATTATAGCCATTAATTTAATAGTCTTCTCATTCAAACACCAAGACTGGATATTCAGCAAGTATCATAAGCTTTTTAATAGACCTCCAAAGAAGAGAGGCTTTTGTTCAAATACTTGTTAAAAGCTTGCATTTTGTATACAACTGCAGGGGAGGTAAAACTAGATTTTGGTTCATGTAGAACTGCCCATTTTTGTTCTCTTTTGCAATAAAGCATGCTTGCTTTAAAATTGGTCTAGGGAAGAACAATCCCAGGTGTGGCAGGTATGTCGTCATAAATGTGCATAATTTGTTAGTGTGGAATACACACTTGCTGAAACTGACTGAAATGGGTTTCTCATTACAGGGGACTACGAGGTGTCCATTAAGTTCAACGATGAACACATCCCAGACAGCCCCTTCATCGTGCCCGTGGCATCTCCCTCTGACGATGCCCGCAGGCTTACTGTTGCTAGTCTTCAGGTGAGGCATCGAGAAAGGCACTTGTCCACTGAGGACCCATTGCCGCCCAGCTCAGCAGCAGACAGTCTGGGGATAGATGGGATATTACTCGAAAGAGTCCAGGGCACAGGAGCTGCCAAAGGATAAGGACAAGAGTAGCTGCTTGATGTAAAGGCGCAAACGAAACAACTTTATCTCTTCGGGCTATAAGACAGTTTGGAAATTGGGGTTTTGAAATGCATATTTAGATTTGTCCCAGGTTTTACCTCTCATGTAAGTGTTTATGGCCCTTTTGTTAAAGCTGTTTAAACTTTGTCTGTTCCAAATTAATGTTAGTGTTGAAAGGAGACAGTCCCTGAAACATCTCTTGAAATTTGCCCTGGAAAAAGATTTGGGGGGGGAACTATAGAAAATGAATGTAAGCCAGTCCTAAGAATAGTTATCTTCATAGGATGGAAACATGCTTTTTTAGATAAGTTTCCCTTCCATATTGAGGCTTGGTGTACACTTCCATCCTTTCCTTTTATCACCACTTGATGTTTTGACATACACTGTGACAGCAGATTAAAAGGGACACAGTGCAATGAAGAAAACAAGGAGCCTAGCCACCCCTGGAAGGAAATAAAATCATACCTAGTGGCTTTGAAAAATGATGGGTGGCCACTCCTAACTTATTTGTATTTCTAATTTGAGGGTGGCCTGTAGTGCATTTGATCGGATGGATTGTTCTTCAGGACCAGGGTTATAACCTTAAGGAAGGTTTTGATTTAGGTAGTGATTTTAGAATTTAAGTGCTAAATCTGGTTGTCCAAATTGAATACTACACGAGAGTCCACCTGAAAGACTTGATGTTAGGAGCCCAGAGTCAGTGCCCAGGCTACATCAGATTCAATATTTCTATTGGCTACTGTAAATGTAGCCATCTTCTAAATAAGGCGTTGTTGGGGTGAGGTGTCCAGGTACCTGTGCTGAGCAGTTTTACAGGAGTAGAGGAAGTGAAGTTAATACTAGGGTAAGCCATGTCTGCTGCTGATGTACTGCTGGATGGTAATGGTTTCTCTGGATCCTACAATGGGACGGTTTTTCTCGTGTCTCTTTCTAAAGGCTTTCAGCAGGTTCTTTCAGAACAACTGAGACAAGGGGCTAAAGGGTTAAAGGGTGAAGAGGCTTGGTCTTCCTATCTGTCGCAGAGGGGAAAACCTTTAAGGGGTTTTATTGAAGCCGTCTCAAGTGTATGAGCTTCGACTTGAGCCAAAATTATCATTTAACCAATCTTAGTCTTCTATGGATAATTTGAGGCCTGTGCTAAATGACCTGCACTTTTAAATTGATTTCACAGTAGGGATTTTGATTTATCCAAAATGAGTTGATATTTTGGCGTTTCTTCAAACTGTACAAGACCGTCAAATTCCAGCTTGAGTATCATAGTGTGGAATGTGACGGTACAATTTATGGTGAATTTTCTCTCCTCTTGGAAGCCACTCTTTAATCCAGTTAGCTCTCTTAAGGTAATGTGCTTCTAAGGGTTTGTTCATTTCCTTATCAAACCCTTGGAATTATAACCAGTGGTGTGTAAAACTTTTCCATCATAATACCCTGCTTATGGTGTAACAACCAGTTGGTGTTTTTTTCCCCACAGTGACTACAGGTATTAAGGATTTCAATTTCTAAAGCAAAACACTTACTGAAGCGTAAATTTAACTTTGAAGTTAGACAAGATCATAACTTTCTTTGAAGTATTTTAATAGTTTTGTGCTTCATGGTTATAAAAAGCCTCTTGCCTTCTCCCTCATTTAAAAAGAAGCATCTTTTTTGTAGTATGCACTAATCCTTTGTACTGGATAATCAAATGAGAAGGCAGGCACCAATATGTGTAAATTACTCTATAAATGTCAATTTGTAGTCTAATCACCTGTGACATAGAATGTGAAACATTATTGCAAAGGCTAATAATTCCCATCGCCAAAGACCATTTAACAGTATGACAAAACACATTACTCATTACTGGGTGTATGCATGACTTGTTTGCTACTAATCACTTTACATATTCCTCGTTTGCTATCTGTTGTGTGGCTGAAAATTTTCAAAATGTCTACCAAATATACTAATGTTAAAGGTTGATGAACATAAGTTGTGCATTGTTCATACTGAAACCAGACTAGTCTTAATACTGAGAATCTAGTGCTTGAAGAGGAGTCCATTGCCAGATGCATACTGTACATAGTGATGGTAACAGTCTGATTTAATGTTAATCATTTTAGTATTTGAATGGCTTTGTTTACATTTGAGTTCCAACTCCAAGGACCTCAACCCTTTTAAAATGGAATAGTTTCATAATTGTAAAGTGAGGAATCTCTATTGTGGGTTATACTAGCAGTGTGTTCTGAATGAAATGATGAAACCTGCATTCAACAGTATTTTAAATTGATTTACACATTGCCTACGGAGAAGCTTTAGTTTAGTGGAATTTGAATTTCATTGTGCTTGAGTGAAATTCCTGCCCAATCTTCCAACATTAAGTAGCAACTGAAAATGTGTTAACATTTGTTAGTGTAAATATTGATAAGCAGAAGGCTCTTTAAGAAACTAATCTTAAGTGATGCACCTGTGTCATTGAAAACTTCACAATTTTGGAATTAATGGTTCAAAAGTGAACTATTTTAATCTATTATTGACTCAGTGAAGTCAGCACTTGCTTACAACCTTCAGCAAGGAGTCTGCTGTCTTGAGGCTTTTTTGGGATCACAAATTATAGAAGTACAGAGATGTAAGGTCTATAGATGTTGAAATGGTTGGGGGTATTAACATGGGAAGTGTTTCAGGGCATCTGAAAAGGGTGTTTTTTTTTAAAAAAAAAAGCCAAGGAAGCTTTTGGCACAAATTAGTTCATACAGCATATGGCACTGAAATGGATTTAGTGTAGTGTGGATGGTTATTTGGTTTGAGGTTCATCAGGTTAGAATAGAGCTTCTTCTCCATGCTTTGTGGATCATGGTTTCCAGGGATGCAGGTGATGGCTTGAGTGCTCAGTTCTTGTTTTTCTAGGAGTCCGGGTTAAAGGTCAACCAGCCAGCTTCTTTTGCTGTAAGCTTGAATGGTGCCAAAGGAGTTATTGATGCCAAAGTGCATAGCCCATCAGGAGCACTTGAAGAATGCTGTGTGACGGAGATAGATGAAGGTAAGTTAAGTAACGTTTAAGACTCTTTAGGTACATTAAACCTCATTGATATGATGCAATTTGTTTGACTTGGGTCCAGTATTCATTCAAAAATTATTTTTCATGTCTGATGGATAATGCAAGCTTTTGGTAAACTGGTGTGTGTTGGCATTAAATAATGGCTTGATAGTCCTTAATAGTCCTGTCAAATCTCATATGACCTAGTGCCGTTACTGAGGTTATAATGGGCTGAATTTTGACTGGTGATTGTTTGGGTTTCAGACAAGTATGCAGTAAGGTTCATTCCTCGTGAGAATGGGCTCTACCTGATTGATGTCAAGTTCAATGGCTCCCACATTCCTGGAAGCCCCTTCAAGATCCGTGTTGGCGAGACTGGGCAGGCAGGTGACCCAGGCATGGTGTCTGCATATGGGGCAGGACTGGAGGGAGGAAATACTGGTATGTATCTTGTAAGGATGGTCTGTTTGGTCATAGTCTGATTTTGTTCTGGGCCATTTGTGTTGTTAAATTAAATGGTTTTCCTTAGTGGAGCTTAGTTGGTTCTGTCTGCTTTTTGTACCACAAAGGAAATTAACATCTTTGCTAGGTGGCCGTGTCCTTGCAGTGCTTGGTTACAGTGCAAATTTCATTCAGAAGAGTGTACATAATCCAGATATCTGTTTATTACATTGTTTACCATAGGATTGTATTTAAACAGTGGAAAATCTCATTGCCTACTACGTAGTCTTACCCAATAAATACAATTGATTTTATTATTTAATGATTCTCAGTGAGGCATGAGCAAATTACTGCTGAGTTGCAGGAAGTGTTTTGGATCTTTACTTACTCTTCTGGTTTTCCAGGCTCTCCATGTGAATTCATTGTGAACACAAGTTCAGCTGGCCCTGGAGCCCTTGCTGTCACCATAGATGGGCCATCCAAGGTCAAGATGGACTGCCAGGAGTGTCCTGAAGGCTACAAAGTCATATACACACCAATGGCCCCTGGGAACTACCTGATCTCCATCAAGTATGGTGGCCCCTACCACATTGTAGGAAGTCCCTACAAAGCCAAGATCACTGGTAAGATGGCATTACATAAAGCTGGACCAGAAGTAGGTGGGGGTGTGATCACTTTGGATTTAGCACTTATTCCTGTGACTGGCCAGTTTCTTAATGAAAACTGGAAGCTAGGCATTTACAAAATCCATGACGCAAATGAATTGTGAAAGTGAAAAAGTCAACTGGCAAAACTGTTAGGGGTAGAATTGAAGCATGTTAACTTTTTTCTAACTTGTGCACCCTGGTGAGAAACCCCATTTAGACAAATGTTTAATGCTATTGGACAAACCTGAGTTTTACAGCCAAGTTCTTTTCTGTAGGCCCCCGGTTAGTGAGCAGTCACAGCCTCCATGAGACGTCTTCCGTCCTCGTTGATCCCATTTCTCGGAGTTCAGCCACCATGCAGCAGGGGGCGCCAGCCTGGGCCTCTTCGGATGCCAGCCATGTTGTTGCCAAGGGGCTAGGCCTTACTAAAGGCTTTGTGGGCCAGAAGAACAGCTTCAGTGTGGACTGTAGCAAAGCAGGTATGCCTCTGTGTATTTCTTAAAATTCATGTCTTGTGAAAGTGGTACAAAAACTTTCTGTAACAATTAAAGATAATGATTTATAGCTAAGATGTATCAAGTGCTTCTACAAAATGCTATAGCATGCCAATTGGGGGCAAAAATGGTTTTGAAGTTTAGCTTTGTTTTAAAATTATTTGACTTCCATAAAATCAAAGTTTATCAAATGCACAACAATACAGCATGCAGCAGTGGTTGCTGGCAATGAGATGTCTGTTCTGCAAGCTCACAAGAATCACAAAAACCTTAAAGTTTGAGATTTGTGTTATCTTATTTAATTCAGAAGTTAAATTGGTCTGTAATGTTGCGCAAATTGCCCTTTATCTGAAGAAATGTAAAAAGTCTTCAATTCTGAAAAGACCTTCCATGATTTCAATACTGACCCCTTAAATCTTTTTTTAAAATAGAATACCTAGCCAACATGGGACAGAACTGTTTTTTCCACACAGAAGTCTGGGGTGGTGAGCTAACTGCTGCTTGCAGGACAGTACTTTTCCACAGAATAGAGACACTCATTTTCAGGGCAAACAGTATGAGCCACACTTGTCTGAGAACGATACTCATGATTTGTAAAATGTTGCACTATTAATATCTTTATGGTTCAACAGGCAGGAACATGCTGCTGGTGGGAGTGGACGGTCCCAAGGTGCCTTGTGAGGAGATTCTGGTCAAGCACCTGGGTAACCGCCTGTACAACGTGAGCTACCAGTTGAAAGAGAAAGGCGACTACATTCTGGTTGTGAAATGGGGTGATGAGCATATTCCTGGCAGCCCTTTCCACATCTCTGTGCCCTAAAGTCTCCTCCTGCCCCCTTTCCCTCCCTGCTTACAGAGGATAATGCACACTGTGCCCTTAACCTCTCCTCCTCCCATTATTTTTGAAAAGCAAGCACCTTCACTCTAAATCGAAATCATGACCTTCTATTCTTGTTGCAGCAAAGCCTAAACAAAACCAGAAGTTTGTTCTTTATGCTTAGTGCTATGGATTTTTTTTTTTGATGGTTACCTGTTTTTGGATTTATGCCCAGGATGGTAGTATAGCTGCTAATTTGTCTTAATAGAATAGCTAACCCTGTTGTAGGCACTATTCTAGTTCTGAAGTGACTGTCCATCCTACATTTATAGACCTTTTCCTGAGTGTTCAGAATCGAACTGGATTCCCACTGGAGGAAAAGGCAAGTCAGATTTTGAACCTCTAGGACACTTAACTAATATTACAACTGTTAACAGAATCGTCGTCAAAGTACTCTTTACCTTAGAGACCGTCTGCAGATGTTAAAGGGAATAGTCTAAATTCTTAAAGATATTGCTAAATTAAAATTGAGAGAATAGAAGATGTCAATGAGAGTAATGTACAGTAGTATGTTAGGAGTTAGGTGGTTATATGGTGGTTGAAGACTTGACACTTTTCCAGTTTGATGCTTTTTGTGAACAAACATGGTTGTGATATGCAACAAAAGGTCACTGTCACTTTCCCCTTACACTTTTTGTACTTTTTGTCCAGAATATTCAATGTCTTTTGAAAGAAAATGTACTTTTGAGGAAATAAGCCTTTAAGAATGTTAGACTGTTACAGTATTTTGATACACAAAGTTGTCTTAAATTTTTACTGTTTACCATTAAACTTGAAAATGGCTTATTGGTTTTCGTTTCTTTTATTTTGTGGCGGAGCTTAAACAAGATGGTATTCTGAAAGATTTGAATGTGCAGATTTTTCTGGCTATCCAATGAGGAAGCTGGATTTTAATATACTCTGCCTTTTCAGATTGAATCTTGTTTATAATGCCAGTTCAATCAGATTTTTTTTATTCAAAATTGATTTGTCATTCTGTAACTTTGGTATTTGAGAAATAAGCCCAGCTGAAAAGTCTTTCCCAAATTCCTTTACTGTTTTCCATGGTTGCTTCCATCCACAGTTCTGAGCTCCTGCAAAGGATCTCAATTTTAACAGTGCTCTAATGTTCTACATTTTAAAACCCATGTCAAACTTTAAAAAGCACAGAAGCTAATTTTCAGAATGTTGCGACAATGGTGTACCAACAGTTACCACTGCCTACAAGGAATGATCTTCAATTTCTTCCACTGAAAACTTCAGATTTAAGGTTATTTATACACTTGAGTGTCTGTCGGCTTCTATGATGGTCTTAACTGTGCAAAAGGGGGGACAAAGCTTTTGCTTTCGAGTTATCCTGATTATCTTTCTCATTTCTTAACTTGCACATCAGCCGTTTTTAGCCTTCCAAATGATCAGTTGTTCTTTAATAAAATTATGCTTTAATACAAGCTTGTGTCCAAGTCTGTTTTTTTTTTAATTAGGGCTATAAGAGCCCAGTTTTGGCTGCATTTCAAATTTTGGTTTGTAGAGTTCTGATGGATACTTATGGGGGTGGTATGAATTCAGTGCTGCCCTCTATTGCAATATACTGTAGATCCTTAATGTAGATGGTTCTATGTTCAGATTGCTAATATGACACCATTTAGTTATTCTGCACACAGGGATAAAGATGATCCTGGAATTTTTGTTAATACCTTAAACACTTATTTTCCCTGGGAATCGGTTTGCCATTTAAAGCTTTAAATATGGGTTACATAAACAGGCTTTCTACTTTATTTGCAGGTTGTAGCTTACACATCATAGGATTGTATAATGTATTGCTCAAAGAGGGGCAGGTATTGTAACTAGCAGTAAGTCGGTTACATTAGCTTAGTCTTCACATGCACATGTACTCATTTTTAATTAAAAAAAGGGTTAAATTTTCCTCTTCATGCATCCTTAATCGGTGTTAATTAAAGGATCTTTGAAGTCTGGATCTTTCTTCTAAACGTTGTGCCTTCACTGCTGTGGATTTGATAATGCCAAGTCTTAATCACTGCATAAGGTCTTCAACCTTGGTACTGGAGAACCAATCCAAGTTGTTTACTAGGCCACCAGTTTTTATAAATTTGACAACATTTGAGAGCTATGGATGAATCATGCAAGTAATCTGTACTATTAAGTGAACTTGGGTGCTTGAGTGGTGTAAAGTACTTGGATATTAATTAAGGAATTGGAAGTTTTAAAAATCACCTGTTTAATTGATCAGAATGAGTTTGTTCTGTAGCTTGAGATATGGCTAATTTAAATTTTAAAGGTGACCTATGCTATCTGATGGATTGGGGCTCTCTAGGACCAGGTATAATGGGTACCTTAATATGAATTTGAACACTGGTCTCAAACCCAATTCCTCAAGGACCTACCATCTTCTGGTCTCACACACAGGTGAAGGTAGCTGTAGCTTTAATGTAAATGGTACACCAAATTTTAGACAATTGCACACAATCTAATCTACTTCATATTTGCACATGTAAATACTTAGAATATGCACAGCACAGTTCTGTAATCTCCAGGTGAACATTGCCCTCAACCTTCTTCACATATGTGCTCAGCCAGTGCTTACCTATACATCTTTGGGAATATTTTATAAATTCTTTAGGGAATATGTTTAGGAATGTGAGTGTAGTTGAGGCACAGTGCATGACTGCTCCTTCTGACACCAGCTTTTGCTGTTGGGACTACCTGCTGCTACAATACTCACCCTGTTAAGATAATGAATGTGAGACCTTAACCAGCCATGCAGAAACTTCACATGGAAAGAAGTATGACAAGGCCATATTTAATGAATGCCAAAACTGTTTTTTTTCCCTCTGGGTGTGAACATTTCTCTTTCCTTTTAATTACTCCCCCCTTTAAGTATTGGAGATCCCATTCTTTGCATTTGTTGTATTTCTGAATGTTTGGGACACCCAACAGGAACATTCAACCACCCAGAGGTACTGAACTCAGATTGGTAGTGGTCTGTAGGCATTAGCTGTTTTTACTGTTACCCTAATGTGGGTAAAGACTAAAAATACACAACTGGTACAAATCCGATGGGTATGAAAATAACTTGAATACTAATAATTCAGGAGATCTGTCAGTGTTGATTATGTGGGTGTAGTGAGCCTGTACATAGGTGCTTGGTACAGTATCTCCCATCAATCTACTGAATTGTTAAAGCATATGAATTAAGCTCTTACAATTCAGTTTATGCAAGTAATGTGTTATGGGTTGTAAAACTTCACAATCATGTTATTTGCTTGAACAGCAAATAAGGCATACAGTAAAATGGGTTTCAGGTATTTTGTGAGACCTTCACCTTGGATCCTCAGAATTTGTACTTTTAGTCATGTAAATTAACCAATGTTTATATCATTATGAGCTTATCACTGACATCCATAAGGGCCACTAAACCACAAACCAGAAAACAAGGTGAAACTCCAATGGGGATGTACAGTACTTTTAAAAGTAAGAACAGTAGTCACACTTTTACCCAAACGGTTGTGTGCGTATGAAACATGCTGAACAGCTATGTTGCGGAAGCCGATACCTTGGTAGTGTTCGTACAGTAGGTGTATTTTTTTCGTTCAAGCTAAATCTAATGATAAACACACTGGGTATATTATTTTTTTCTTACCTATGCAGTGAGTTGGAGTTCCAGACAGAGGGCGTATTGAAGTAGCTCAGCAGTGGATTGCACCAGATTTGAAATACCAAAAAAAGCGGGAATACAGTACATCGGTTTTACAACCAACGCCCTAGTTTCTTCACCCAATTCACAGCTGGAGGAGAAAAAAAAAAAGCTCTGGAAATTTTCGTTTTTCCTTATTAGGGTAACAACGAATTGCACTTCACTCTATTGTAACAGGCGAGGGCGCCAGTGAGACGCTCCTCGTTGACGCAGCAAACTGTGGGCCGCAATCACATGCAGTCGAGAGACGTACACCATTGGAGCTACGGAGAAAGAGCAGCTTCCGATACAGAGCTTTCGTTTTTCAAAAAGGAGAGGTGACATTACTCGGGAATTCGCTGTTACAGAAAGAGTAGTTATTTGCTTATTGCTCTTTGTCCTGAAGGTAAGATGCCTTTTTTTTTTCAAATAAGACCCTTTAGCCTTGTTTCTCTGGGGAGCAGAGAGAGGTGTGTGCTGCGAGAAACGTGTCCCTGCATTAGTTTAATAGAAATCAATTGCCGTTTGCTTCGCGGACCTCCCATTTTATTTTTTTAAATATGAACAACGCCCTGTCGCTGTAACGTAGTTAGCTGGATCTGCAACACTTATGAGCTGACGTATATTTCTGAATATATTTCTACTTGGTAAATCACAAGTTAAGTTTTGGAGTTAGCGTATTATTGAGGCACATGGCGTCTTTGCGAAGTGATGCCCTGTATTCTAGCCATGAATGTCCTCAAACGAAGTCGTTTTGATTTTATGGGCAGTCGCTTGTGTAAAAGAAGTGGCCTCATTCTAAAGTTTTTTGTCCTTGTGCATACGATGCGTGAATTGAATGCACTTTGTTTTGCTTGTTCTGTTATTATTTTACAACATTTCAACAACTATTCATACAGTGTGTGTTGTTTTGTACTGTATATGTATAGGTTTTATTTCGTAATCTGTAATCCCCATTCATTTTTTCTTGACGATCACCACGAAAGGTTGGTATATCATTTTGTCCTAAAACTAACTTTTAGTTTTGACATCTTTAAAGTTAAAGGTTTAACTCGTTTGTCTCCTTTTACGTCTGGAACACACTAAAAGAACTGTTGTTTGAATCACATGAACACATGAAATTATCTACTGCTGCTTAAATCGTACAAACATGGCTCATTTTAGTTATTGTACTGTATACTAGTAATGATGATATATCCATTCACGGGGGGAATGCTCATTGTTTAATTTTAGTTTGTTACAATACATTGTTTATATAAACCTCGGACCTTAGAGAAAGATAAAACTGAAGTTCACATTACCATAGCTCAACCATTTAGTTGAAGTGAAACTGAAAAGAGATTGTTGATGAAAATATTATTCAACAATATAGCCTATAGGGATTAGATTGTGGAAATAATCTTCCGACACATATACCTTACATGGAAATTATGAGAAGAGCAGGCGATATCGTGTGGACATGAATTTATAAAGCTTCGGTTTTGGGATTGTAGTTCATTCCAGAAACAACCCGTGATTTGTAAAAGCTCCGTTTTCGGATAATCGCAGGTTACACTCTTACACTGAAAGCAGACTCTTTGGTCTCTCGGAAGAATGTACCAAATTACAAGCAACAACCACAGCCTTACCTGGTTTATTTAAGAGTGAACTTAGTAAGATAATAATAAGATATACAATATTTAGTTAAACTGTGAATGCGTTTTAAACCGATAAGTTGCAGTATTATTTTAAACTGACTGATTCAGACATTGTTTGTCCAGTATATCATGACACATTAAAACTGATGTTGAATCCTTTTTTGCAGTGATGTTATCTTTAAATCTGTGTGTATCTTATTTTTCCAGAGGCTTGAATGTCAAGGCCCATTAAGCAAGAATAATAGGCATTATTGATTATTTTCTAACATGACCACACTGATCCGTGTTACCTATACATTTTAACAGGCTAAATACGGTGAGGTTACAAGGCGGAGATATGGATCTTTTCATTTGCTTTCTCCATAAAACAAGTCATAATTTATTTCCTTTTTTCTTTCTTTTGTTTATCCTGTAAGCAAATCATCAATCATCTTAACCAGAGCCTTGTCAGTACCATACAATAGCCTAAGTCAGGGTTCTCCAAACCAGGTCCTTGAGAGCCCCAATCCAGCAATTGTTGTACTGTAGTTTACTATTAAAGCAATTTCTAAAGATATGAAACAATTCCACTGTGGTCAGTTCAACGGTCAATTTGTGAAACTATGTAGAGTTCATTTATGCCTAGACTTTATGTAGTGTTCAGCCCTGGAGGACTGCAATGCTATTTTTATATTTCCAGGAAAGACTCAGCATTGATGAGTGCATTTCAAACCATGATGAAAGTAAAATGTACACAGCAATGTGTAAAACTTCCTATTTACATTAAAAAAAATAGAAATTTCCAGGTATGTGCAGCGCTAAGTTCTGCGATTCACAAAGAGACAACAAAACTTCTGGTGAGGTGAAGTGGCCATATTACATTGTAAAGATGCAGACTATTGAATGCATCTCTTTTAATCCAATAGAAATATTGCTCTCGATTTCCAGATTATTTTGGCGCAAGAATACTACTTGTTAACTGCGTGCAGATCACGTTGGAACAGTTCTGCGCTGAAATGACTGCGGCACAACCTGTAATTAATTGGTCCTACGTTGCATTATATATAGGAAGCATGAAGGTCTGCACCACGTCACAGTTTGTACAAACTCTCTCTCTTGGCCGTGGCAAGACCAGGAGTTT